ATAACAGCACTCAGACATATCCAACGGTCCGCTGTATCGTCCATCTACCGACGACCAGCAAACAGGTGCGATGTCCATGGTTGATTCCATTGATGAATCCAAACCACTCACCAAAGCACTTGGATATGTCCCTATCGCGCGCGTGCCACTCGCAGACTGTGGCGCAGAAACTTGCCGACTCCAACACAAAACGACCGAGACTTGCCTACTCCGACATAACAGCACTCAGACATATCCAACGGTCCGCTGTATCGCCCAGGTATCCGCGACTAGCAAACAGGTGCGATGTCCATGGTTGATTCCATTGATGAATCCAAACCACTCACCAAAGCACTTGGATATGTCCCTATCGCGCGCGTGCCACTCGCAGACTGTGGCGCAGAAACTTGCCGACTCCAACACAAAACGACCGAGACTCTCCTACTCCGACATTACAGCACTCAGACATATCCAACAGCCTGCTGTAACGCCCATGTATCCACAAATAAAGTAAAAAAAAATCATATAAAAATAAAATAAACATAACGAAAAATAACATTTTTAATCTCACTAAATTTTTTCTTATATTACGTTTATGACTTAAAATAAAATCTAATAACTCCTTATATATATAGAGATTCATTGACAACTTGAGAACATAACAAATATGTAATCACAATAACAATTCAGCTCAATCCATATCGGAGAGCTGTTTATTCCATTGCGGCAATTTACTTAACTCTATGAACAAATATTTTGGAAACTCTTTAGTCTTTTTACCGATTATATTGAAATTTAAATCTAAATGTTCCTGACTTATGGAGTTTTCTAGAAATATTTTGGCTTGCATAACTTGAGCAGATGATGGTGCTTCTTGTGTGTAATTACCTGTACATAGAATAATTATATAATATTATAACTTGTTTTCCAAAAAAGTAAATAAAGACTATTCATCGAGCAAAGAGCATCTATCTGTATGGCATAGAACAAATGAAAATAAAGAACATTTTACCTATAAATGCCAGGACTAAAGCATTTGTAGAGTACTTGGGAAAAATGATTGAATTTCTTCGCCATCCCAGTGCTTCAAAGCTCTCTCCATCGGGTGACACCAAGAAGTTATATTGCAGAAGAGTTCCATTTTCCTAAAAATAAATAATTAGTATTTAATATTGAATTAATTTCTATGCTTCACTTAATGTCAAATGAACATTAAAATTTAAAAATTCCCTTGTAAAAACTCTAAAAAAAGCTATTTTATCTTCCCCATATTTACCTGCATTGAGTTCAGTAGCATAGAACAAGTTTTTATACCGTCACATTGTTCTGTATCCGTTTGAACAATGATGACAGTATCTTTCTTCAACTGTGGCACAAGATTTAACTGATTAACTTCCTTATTCTTATCCCATTGAAGACGGCTAACATAACGCTCCGGCTCTTCAATTGGAGGTAGCACATTCTCTGTAAATTTACAATATCGTCAATATTGTGTAAACAAATTGTTGTATTTGAATAAAGAATTTTTAACAATATGGAAAAGTCCATGACGCAGTTACAGCAAAGATATTCATTATAAGTTCAAACAGAGGAAGGAAAATTACTCGCAAGAGCAAGGTAACTCAAGCCTAAATGTTATTAGCCACACTGCAGATATATACCCAAAAAGTCTGTTAAAAATATTCAGTACTGTAAATGCATTGCAATTGAAAATAACATATACAGGAAACATACTTTGATATAATGTTTTAGATAAGAAGCAAGCATATTTTGTAAATTCGCCACAACTTGTAAAAATCACACTAAATTTTCACACGCGTGTTTTTGAGAATCATAATGTATCTATTAATAAAATATTCACCTGATCTGCTTTGGATGATCAGGAGATATGTGCCAATGACAATGCCAGATAGCAGTATTAGAAGAAGCAAGCTGACAACAGCCCTGGTGCGATAGTGGTTATCATTGCCTTGATACCTCGGGAATCGTTGGAGAAGTGGTGTCGCCTCAGTGCCCCTGTTCTCTTCTTCCGCACGATAAGAATTGGTGCGTGATTCATGATCTGTAGACAAATTGATCTTGTATATATTTGTCTTATCATTTCATATATCCTGTGCAAGCTTTTGCCGACCCGTAATTGGTGATTATATTGACTTAATGATATTTACATTGTAGTAATGTTCAAGATAATTGTTATTGTAATTATATTCTATTAGAAAATAAAATATACTTAATAATGTGAAACAAACAAACAAGGGTAATTAAATAATTGATAATTACATAATTCTTGAAGTAAAATTTCCCCCATAGTACTATTAACAGTAAAATATGTTTGCACACCGTAACTTTTTACACATTGTGTCAGAGCTAATGATTATACTAAACTAGTTGTTATCAACTGTCCTGGGTTTTTTTTTAGCATGTACTAACTGCAATATTATCTGTTGTAATATGAGTAATCCATTCATTTCACATCTGGTTTTAAGAGATAATTTTTTTTAATATTGGAAAACTGTAGATAGATTGATAATTATTTATTTAAACTTTAATGTTCATTTTGATCATACTCGGTAAGGGTTATAACAAAAGAATCCATCAGAGAAACAAATCGCGAGTTACAATACTTCGATGTTGTTTTTCAAATCTCAATATGTTGACACTTGTGTTGACAAAAATCTTGAAATAATTGTTTCTCACATAACTTTATAATATTAGCTATCTTTGTTTTACAATATCACTTTAGTTTAGCTCACAATTTTCATAAAATACCTAAAAAGTAATGGTCGCAATGTGTGGAATTTACCATTGTACTCTTTACTTAATTTCAACTTCGGATTTAAACAATGGATACAATAACAAGTGAATACACGAGCGGGTAGTAAAGTAAAAATACAAACAAGTGGACTCAACCCTCATTTAATATGAGGAACCACTCAAAATCCAAACCATACTCAATCTCGAAACAATTTCATATTAGTTAAATAATTAAATTTGCTTTTAACTGAGTGTATCTTTTTAGTATTAGAAATGGGTAAATGAGCGGTAGATCGTATAAACTCATTTGAATCTATGCCCCGGTTTCATCCACAACAGAAGAACTGAAGATGTATTACTGGCCTTTAAAGAAGGTGTACTCTCTTCTCTAAGCTAGCATGTATATTTGATTCTTCAAAGAAATTCTGTCCAATTGAAATGTTTCAAGATGGCTCACTGCACATTTTGAATGGCTGTATTGTTCAAAAAGATAACTAAGTTGTGATTGGATAATATTCGAAACATAAAGAGTTGCAGAATATTTGAGGAACTTGGATTTATGACTAATTCTAAGTCAAATAGCTACTTCTTGTAAAAATAGGAATAAAACAAACGAACACTAAGGTGTTAGCCAATAAGAAAAAACTGCATTCTCATTTCAATGACTCAGTAGAATGTTTTAATGTAAATGTGTAAATAGGATCAATGCAGATCAGATCAATCGATTCCACACTACCAAACAAAAAATCAATATTCACAAAGTATTTTACAGAACTTAATAAGGAAAAATTACTTACCCACTGGAGATATAAGTGGTTGCATTGTTAGTCGGGGCACCAAACAGCATAGACCTCTCTGGATAACATTACTATTCACACAAAAGATTTTTACTGTTGGGCGTTGACAGCATGTGTTGTCTCGACGAAAGCCAAGGAGGAAAGAAAGATTTTATCAACGTCTATATGCGAATACTATAGGTGTGGGGTAAATGGGAATAGTATATAACAAAAGTATATAACAATCTGAAAATCAATACCAGGGCGGGACGAACTACAGATTATAAAATAGGACATCTCTTTGTTCGATGTCATTTAAATTGCCTACTCTATGCCGCTCGCTGAACAGATAACAAAATACAGCAAAACAAAGAGTAAAAAAGACAATATGTTTTCTGCTGAAGTATCAATTAAAAAATTGTTTTTAAAATATTATTCTGTCTCTATTAATTTACATATCCACATTGAGGTTTTATTTTTAAAATCTTTAAAGTTTTTAAAATTTCAAAGATTACATGATTTGTCATTTTGAAAAATAAAAAAGACAAGGCTGTATGGCTTAGTTCCCTTTCCTAAAAACAACAACTTTTTGACGTTGTCAACTGTCAACGTCATATTTGTTATTGTTTTGTTTGTTTTTTAATTTTTTTAATTTACAATATCTTTTTGTTATTTTTTCTTTCGTTTAATTCTAAACATTAAGTTGTATTCAATATGATGGTACTAATTCTAGAGACTAAGCAGTCTACAGCAAAGAGATCTAAGATCTCGGGTTACTTTCAATCTAGTAATATTAACCATTAAAGAATTAATTTGTTGAGCTTAGGCTTTCTACGAGTCCTTATGTAGCCTTATGTTTTCCTGAGGTTGCTGAGATGCCACGAGTAGTTTCTGGCACAAATAATAAGTATAAAAATTATTGTGACCTGTTTGTAACTGTCATAACTCATATAACATACTAGAATCCAAAAGTAAAAGACAAAACCAACCGTCCTATAATTGATATGCTTAACCTTCATAAGGTAATCTACATTTCAAAACATGAACCTCTTTTTGGACATCTTATCAAGGCAATTGTGCAAACAGATGTATGAGAAAATTATACTGTTAAGGTTAACATGAAGAAGAATCGGATTATGTTATTTTTATCTTACTAATATTATAAACGAGAATGTTTAGATAGATGGATGGATGTTTGTTTGAAAGTATCTCCAGAATGTCTCAATGGATCACTATCTAAAACAACACATAGGCTACTTATTAAGTCTTTTTTTTATTCTGCATGGACAGAGTCGCGGCTGACAGGTATTTTGAATATCGACCAATAAGCAAACATTAATCCAATATACTCTAAATGCTATGTAAATAATATGTAATACTCAATACTATGCTATTTAAAATTTCAGGGCTATGTTACAGTATCCTGTTTAACAAGAATTCATCAGTTACACCATTCTTTGATGCTAATTGAAGAACTCTAGGCAAGAATGGTAATTCTATTTTATAAACATATCAAATGCCAAATGTGATCTATAAACCTACAAATTTATTTGGTCCCATAGAGACTTTGAAGTTGGCATTCATATTCATCATTCATACATTCATATTGCATTTTTATTCGAAAATATACTTAAGTTATGACACACTAGAAAATATTTAAAAAGAGAATTAATGAATTTTATTTAAAAAAATGCATATAATTTTTATTAAGTCACCAATTGTATCAATTTCAGGCAATCGAACGATTTCTATGAAAAGTATGAAGAGACATGGAGAGAACATTATATTATTACTAACTGTCGCCCGCGACTCCGTCCGCGCGGGATTAAACATAGATGTTAGACGATTCTCAGACCTACTCAATATGCTCACAAAATTTCATGAGAATCAGTCAAGCCGTTTCGGAGGAGTATGGGTAAGAAAATTGTGACACAAGAATTTTATATATAAGATAAGAACTCAGAGTTTGACTAGCGTATATCACAGTTAAATCATGGATTAATTTGAAATAGAAGTTACATAAAATATTGGCGATCTCAAGTGTGGGCTGGAAGAACATTCAAAATGTGGCAAAATATATATAATATTAATACTATTCTACAAAATATAGGTAATCAAAATTGACTATAGCTCATTTTAAATTAGACTAACACAATCCAGGATACATCTGTAGTTTTTTACTAAGGAACAATCTAGCATTTGACCACCACTATACGTCTCCACCGAGCGGCTCGGAGCCTACCCTAAGTTAAGACTAGGCCATAGACCCACTGACCTTTATAAGACTGGCTATAAGACAAAGTATATTTTGCTTATTGCTCCATTTTGGTGCAAAGGGTAGTCATTTGTAGCTATGGTTTGGATACAAAGAAATAATAGAAATTAGAACGAAACAAAAGCGGTCATTCACAAGCCATTGCCTATCCAGTTATACAGATTAGTGTTTACATTTAATTGTTGATTTGGTTGATTTATTGACCCTGTGAGGGTGTTTCTTTATTTCTTTATTAATATAATTAAAAAATTTAAAACCCTTAAATGTAATAAAACATTTTTTATGAATCTAATTATAAAAAAAAACATACAGACGAATTGAGAACCTCCTCCTTTTTTGAAGTTGGTTAAAAATACATTAAAAGATACAAATATTTTTAATTTCTATTTTAAATATTATACATAAATAAAATTTTTAAATAATTTTAAAATAGAAAAAAAAGTCAAACTGTTTAATCAACTGCTCTTATAACTAATACTACTAACAACTCTTTTTTTAATTTTGTTTTTTATTTTCATTTCAGCAGCGGTTTTTGGCTCAACAAAAACCGGGCACTCTTTAATAATGTGTGGTACGGAAGGCTGCGCCCCTGGATAGCAGTTACCTCGTGCAGAAACCCATTCAGGTAAGAGGAAAACGCTATGCCCATTCAACTTATGTAAGGTATTGCTTCTTTAAATAGTGTTTTGCTTGTCGATCCGCCCTCTCGTTCCCTTTCATCCCTCGCTTTACCCAGTATAATCTGACTTTTTTCTCTTTATATACCTTTCTATGTTACTCTTGCTATCGTCTCGAGGGCGTACTCGGAATTGGAATTAACACCCAACTAAGTTCCGCGCAGTCAGATTGCCACCCAATATCACGCCAGCGCGAGCGTCGGTAGCTCAGGGGTTTAGGCACTTGACTTGAAATCTGCAGGTCCCCGCTTCGAATCGGTAGCGGGTCGTAGGTAACGGGGCAGATACCACTATCCAGAACTATCCTCCTCAGCAGTCGTTCAAGCGGTGGAAAACTACGCAAGAACTTGTAGTAAGCGGTAGCTTGGAATTTTGCTCCGTCCTTGGCTTCCGTAATTCAAACTCGATTGGTGTGTTCATAGCAAAAGAGTCGGACCAAAGCATCGGACCCAAGCTTTGAACAAGGGGGGGACTGGACTACGATTTAATTTCGTTGATGGTGTTCTCGTCGCCATTAAAGGACAGGACATCCACTAAGACAACCGAGGTTTCCACTCTTCCACCTTTAGGTCTTCTGAGGCCTTTTTAGCAACTCCTTTATGTGGCTCAGCTCCGTCTCCATCTCGCTATCACTTCTCTGTCCTTTATTTTCGTGAACAAATTTTACACATTCCTCTTTCATGTTAAACACTTTTCTTATTTTTTCCAGGATCTGATTACCGGTGTTCCTGTCATTAATGGATCGTCACCGAGTACGTGGCGCCTGCAGTTATTAAAAGTTGATTAATCTCGTAAAACTATGTCGAGTCATATAAAAATATGTAAACAATGACAAAGAAAAAATATTTATTTTCTGTATTATCCCAGTTACACTGTTCAGTTAAACATGTTAACCCTTTGAATGCTGTTGAAGGATATTATGAACGTCAAAGTTTCATCATAATTATGTATCATGAAACTACTTTCTACACTTTATATTGTTAATGTTATGTATCGTCCATATCGTTTGTAATCAAGTCAAGAATGTTTAGAAGACAGGCGTCAAGTGGAGGTAATTCCGCGTTTCGTCTGATGAGTGTGCGTCCCGGAGGCCTAATTTTGTCCTCTTTCCCTTCCCACACTTTTTCTTATAAGGAAAGGATGGGAAGTGGAAGTGGACTTTCCGGATGAGAGGATGCATGGAAAGAGAAAATATTTTCTTTCTGTGCATCCTCTCCTCCGTCGATTAAAGTTAGGCAACGCATATGCAATTGCGTATGTCTGTGGGCAACTGTCACTTCGCTATTTCAGCGATTTTGGCTCGCTGGTTTGCCACCTTATGATATAAAAAAAAATGTTAAAATTTGTGATGAAGTAAAGAATTTTTATATATCTTTGTATGTAAGTAAGAAAATATATATTTCAAGTTGCAATTGTTTGAATAAATTTCTTAATCATAATACTGGGATTTCATTGAATTAATCTCCTACGCATGCCTCTAAGTATATACTACTTAAAAAGAACTGAAAACTAATTAAAACTCCTTTCCCAACCCAAAAGTTATTCCCTTGTTATACCAGGAAGCCATAAATTTCTTTGCTATAGAAATGAGAGATTAAAAATTCTAAATCTTTCCATTGCGACCTACCTCTTTATGTATAAAATTGCGAAAGGAATGTTTACTTGATTTTTGTTTTTACGACTTTACATGGTTTCTCGGCGTCATCTGGTTGGGAATTCTTACAAAACTTTAAGAAGTTTCAAATTTTGTTTTGCAACATTTCTAGAAATTATTTTGACTGAGAGAAGCCGTAAAGAGGAAAAACTTAAAGGTCATGTGTACTTAAATGTGACTTCGAAACTCTGCACGTTGGTTTTTTGACGTAGTTGTTACATTATGTATATACAGTATTGAGAACATAAAGCTAACCTGAAACTAACTGGTTTATGAAATATTTTTGGCTACATCCATATATGAGTATGTTTAAAAATAAAAACGATGAATAAATCCCGGCTATATGTATTTAACTACCATATATTTGTAATATCTATATACATTCATAAGTATATAATACCTTCAAACGCGTTTCGTTTGTTATATGTAAGTTATGTATCATAGACGTCTTTAATTTCAGGTTAGTTATATGTTATTACAGTACATATAATATTTGAATCTATAATCTATGTATGCGTCGCGTAGACGAATTGGTCGGTGTAGGCGGTCACCCACCGCCTCGTGCTAACATTGAAAGAAGTGTTTAAAAAATCTGTAATATGTTTTTAATTTGGAAATTAAAATCTCTCCAAATACAACATTTTAATTAACACATTATATATTGCTTTATATAAAATGTCACCTAATTTTAAGACAAATGAATAAAGGTAGCAACGCATTTGCAATTCACTGTGTATTTATGGGTGGTGATCGTTTCGCTATTTCGGCGAATTTATGTGACCGCGTACACATTTGACACCTTATTTTAAAAAGTAGTCGAGAAACATGAAGGTTTTTGATAAGATTTAATGACTTCGCATTTGCTAGACACGAGCTTAGCTCAAGCAAAGCATATGACTATAGATTATAAACTCTTATGATAAGTTTAAGCGAATTCTAAGTACGAACTATAAACATCCTAATTATTATTTGCCACTTCTACAATGCAGTGGAAACCATAGACAAAGCTTTTATTTCTCTTAATTCCTACAAAAATATAACCTGTAATAAATTAACATTAAATCATACATATGATAATTCTAATATACGACTACTCTTGTTCATGAACTTAATCTTACTAATATTATTAATTCTAATGTTTGGATGGATGCATGTTTGTTACAAGATATCTTCAGAACGGCTGCATGGATCTCGTTGAACTTTGGATTATAGACGTAGAATATAGTTTGTAGGAACACATATGCTACTAAGTTTTTTTTTTTATCTGCGCAGACGGAGTCGCGGGCGAAAGCTTGTTATGTTATAAAATATATAAATTAGCAATCATAAAAAATGTTTCCTTTGTGTTTTTTTATAATCCTAAAGTTGTAAGTTTGAATATTTTTTTGTATCGTCGATTTTACAGTTGGAAGCTTGAAAATCCTTGGCAGTTAATTTGATGTAAATAAATATAACATTAAATTTTTTTTAAATGTTACCCACAAGGGTGCTAAATAACAATAGGGGATGAAAGTCTGTTTTAGAATATGTGAGGTATTAGATACTACATATAAGTGTTAGTAAAATAAGTAGCCTAAATAATTAAAGTGCTACCCAAAGACAGTATTTCCCGCGAACAAAGTCGCGGGCACAGTTAATAATATTTAAAAATAAACGTAGCTGCGAGTTACGTTCTAACACGTAGCTTTAAGATAATTGGATGCTTTGATTAAAGACAAGATGCAACTGAAACAACACCCCCAACCGCCCCGGCGCGGCGCCCTTAGTACATAATGTGATTGCCCTGCGTTCCCGTTGTCTCTCAAACTTACATCCAAATTTGTTGTAGATTTCGATAATTAAGTATCTACAGGATTTTTTAAATTCTTCAGACATATGCATGACCACCTTTACTACCATTTAATATGTTTTCGAATTCACCGAGCATTTTTTTTCTTTTAGAAAAAGCTCGTGTATGGTGGTCCTAAGCTACTGTTAAAATTTAGAATTGCAAAACAATTCTACGTCTTTATGTTTCGAAATAATCATAGAAGAAATTAAATTAAACCTTATGTGAAATGTAATAGGGGAAAATTTTAAATGGAAAATTAAACGGCGCAACACTTTGCCTACGTGCAGTGTACAGAAATAAAGTTAAGAAGCCCTGGCAGCGATCGGAAAACTACTATAAAAGGGCATACGAAGTGTTGTCGTACCTCAGTTACAGTTTTTCCTGTCGCAGGAGAGGACCAGCTGATTAAACCATTTGAGATATTAAGCAGTCGAAATGTTTAAAATGTACAGGACCTTCTTGGTTAGTATATTTCATTATTAATTTTTGCTCGCAGAAATTAATTTTATTTTTTATTCATTATTTCATTAATTATTTTTCATTTTTTATTTTTTTTATTCATATTTTATACGATATAATTTTATTTTTTAAAGTGAAACTTGATTGGATATAATTTCTATCAAGATTTTTACTTCATATATTTTTTTTGGTAGTTAATGGAACATTATTTAAAGGATTTAGAAGACGAATCTCGTAAATTAACCAGTTTTCTTTTATCTTTTAATTCCGTAGATAAAATTCGTATTGAATTCAAGTTGATTTCAATTATTTATAAAGTTTGTTCGCGGCGAACGAAAGTTTAAATATTTATTATTAATCATTTTGTTGCCAAAAAAATAAATAAAATGTAACTTGTTGGATTAGCAGTTTTATGTTTTTTTTTATACACAAAATAATAATTATTTTATTTGTTAATTTAGTTTCTATGTGTAAGTGTTCAAATGCCTTGTGCAAGGAACTTTACCATTTCTGTCTAAACAGCAGTGTTCGTGGAAAATGTACCTAATAGCAATACTTACTGCATATTTTATTACATCGATTGGTTCGTAAGAATTGTTTTTATATTTCATTTCATTATCAATGTCAATTTTCAAAGGCATATCGTAAGAAACATCATTATACAATTAATAAAATAGATATGTCTGTTTGTAATATAGTAAAAAAAAACGTAATTTCCTAATTTGACTCTTATAAGGGAAATAAAATTTCTAAATTTTTTGTCTGTCTGTCCGCAAACGTTTGTTCAGGATAATCTTCGAAACAGCTAAACAGATTTTGACACAACTTTTAATGGAATGTAGCTGATATTTGCGGAAATAATTTAGTATAAATACTTTATTCTTTGCTAACGAAGTCGCGCGCGAACGCTAGTTAGTTTGTAATTTTTGTATATTTAATTAATAAAAGCTTTTATCTTTAGTTGTACGTGTAATTATTTTAATAATAAACTGTTATACACAGTTTCAATGTCAGAATGGTAACGTATAATTAAGCTAGTGTTCGAACAGCCGATATTGATATAGATTTGATTTTTGACGTCATTAAGTCATATTTTATTTAATTAAATTCATCAATTGATTTTTTTATATACTAACTGACGCCCATGACTCCGTCCGCGCGGTATTAAAAAAAATTAATTAGTAGCCTACGAGTTCTTTCAGAGTATACTCTATATTTATACCGGATTTAATCGAGATCTGAGCCGTTTTGGAGATATCTTTTATCAAACATCCATCTATCCATCCTTTCATCCATCTAAATATTCGTATTTATAATGTTAGTTTGATTAAATCTTCTCTTCTATTAAGTGTTCTTTATTATTTTCAAACGATGGGAGACAAATTATATTTTCATATTGATTAATTTATTCTATTTATTTACAGTTTCTTCTTGGAATGTTGACGGTGTTCAGCTTTGCTTACATGTGTGACCCGGTACAGCGCTCCATCAAGCTCAGCGACATCAAAGATAAAAAGTAAGACATTATTTATAATTAACAAAAAAAAACATTCTTAAATAAAATTCATCAAAAGTAACAAAATAATGTCATGAACAAGCACCTCCCAAAGCAATAAATTTCTTTTTTTTTTTCTTGAAATATGTATATACTTTATAATTATTGTTATTTCGTAGTCGGTGTCGGTAAACTTAATGTTCTAGCCTTCAAACATAGTTATTTGGATTGATACGGAGTAAAATATGATAGCTACGTAAGCTTAAGACACGGTAATTCGTATGCATTTTGATTGATGTTTCAGATGCGCGTAGTTCTTAATCGTTGGATATCTTCTAAGCTATTGGTCAGAATTATAAAGTTCAAAAGGCTAATATAATCTAAACTTTATACTCTAGTCGGTAAATATATTTGTTTGGATAATGATTCATACCGGATATAATATAATAACGCCGTAAGTTTAAGACACGGTAATTCGTATGCATTTTAATCAATGTACCTTTAGAATAGCATGGTAATTCTGAGACATCCATTGGTGATAGGTAAATGCTATCAAAGACATTTATGTAGCAAATTAAGGGATCTACAATTCCTTCATACAATATTTTTATGTAGGTTATATAGTTTGACCTACGTAAGAGTTAATACCGAATTCGAATAATTTCGTCGGAAGTAGCGCATGAATTTAATTGATGATTTTCCAGAAAAAAAGGGTAATTGTGAAAAACACCATAGTAGATAGATATACGCTATCGCGGACTTTTATTTGGCAAATTTAAAGAGCTACAATTCGTTGATACATCATTTTTACGTAGGTCCTATAGTTTAGCCTCCGTAAGTGAAGAAAGCAAAAAACTCCTTAATTTTCGTAACGCATATTGAACTTAAACTCAAAATCTACTAAACTTCTAGTCATTTTAAAAATTAATAAAAAAATGGGACCCACGCAAAACCTTTCGATAAAAAAAATCAAAATCGGAGCACCAGAAAAGGAGTTAAGCGGTAACACACATAAAAACATACAGACGAATTGATAACCTCCTTCTTTTTGAAGTCCGCTAAAAATGCACATAGAGAGAACGAGATATGATGCTATGTTTGTGCAAGTCGGTAGCGGAAACATATAGATATAATGCGTTTACTAATTGATTTATTTCTTAGGGAACGTGAGAGCCTCGAACACTACTTGTACCAAGGGTACTGGAGGGACAACTATGTCTGGATCCCCAAATGGATAAAGATTTGGCGCAACAGGAATATCCAGGTGCCGACTTGGAAGCGCATTTGGATCCAAAAGAAAACTGAGGAATGGGTCACCGTGCGCGCAAAACCACCGGCGTGGCTTAAAAATGTACGCGGACACTTTGTTGTCAAAGTATAAATATTTCAAGCTCTTTTATAATTGTTGGTCTACATACGGTCGAAATCAATATTCGGTCTGGAAGCATATTTGGTTATGCATCATTAGTGCATTTTTTATTCATTCGGTTCCGAAATAATCTATCGCATTACTGATTGAAAAATCTTTTTGAAGTTGATATCGTTCTATACGAAGTAATTAAAACCATTTTCGGATCGATCTCGGAGATCGAATATTCATTACGGCCGTTATAGATGAATACAATTTGATATTCGCTTTGTCTAGTCATTTGCTGTAATTTCTAATAAATGTTTTGATAGAATAAATAATTGCGCGCTTATTTTAATTTGATATTTTAATTATACTACATATATGTTTTATGATTCAAAACTTTTTGTCGTCTAATATCCAAGAATTATTTATAAATTAAACTCAGATTAAGTATATATATTTAATTTTAAAAATGTATAAGTTTAGGTATTGTTTTAACAGTATGCACAAAATGATTTTAGTCTTTGTCTTTATAACTTCTGCTAATTAGAACTAAGAAAACAAATTCTTGTTTACTTACTGTTGAGTTGTTATTTTACTGAAACTAGCACTAAATATCACGTAAAATGAAACTTATGTTTATTATTTAAACTTATTGCATCGGGTGGGTGTTAATTGAAAACCTTATTAATATTCATTTCAGCGAATTATTCTAGTCTGTAAATCTTGCTGCGCGCAATTGCTTTGTATGTTTTGTTTTAGCGAATTGTATTTTCGAATACTTATGCTTGAGTGTAATCATATTTAATTATTCAATTGTAGTATTAGAAATAAAGATGATTTGTGTGATTATGTAACTTTATTTTTATAAAGGCTCTGTGGTCCTCCTGCGCGCAAACATGCTCGCAACCAACTATAAAGTTTGAGTTTTATATTACAACGTGCACTGGATAAACGTATTGATGTTCCTGACAGTTAATTCTTTCTCATCTTACGATGGACTATGAGGATTATTTAGCGCCTGACGATATACCTGTAGCAATGTTTTCAAAATAACTTTTAACAATTTTTGTTTGTAATTCTAAATAATATTTAATACTACACTAAGCTCAAACTTTAAACTGGAGAAATTGAAAAGCCTATAGGTTTCATAGCCAAGAGTACTAGGTAACATTCCATAATGGTGTTGGATCGATCAAATGAGTTACCTACCAGTGTAACGATAACAGCTTTTCCAGGACACATGAATAATAACTTAAAAGGACTATTATGACAGGGCTACATTGCAATGTCCTAGTTGTCTGACCTAACTATTGTCCATGTTGACGTGAGTTCGCACTAACAAAACGTTAAAAAACATATAATTTTTACAGAGAGAGGTAAAGAAACAATTTTTTAGCATGAATCCTTGGGCAATATTAAAAAACCATTGGCACTCTCTCATTTTTTCACAATCAAGTAATTTGTAGTGACATTTTGTCATGTCAATATGCTTCTTTTAATTATTGTTTAAAACGGCATTCTTATAAATATTTCAAGAACTTAATAGCAGTAGAGCGAACAACAACAGTAACCTACCAAGTTCGACTTTGAACTCCGCCCTCACAGAATATTAATGTGTGGAAAGCAATTTATGTATCTATATTTATAATGACAAGGCGATTAAAGTACCATCATACGTATTCTTACCTTACCTCTAGTATTACTTTTCCTTCTTACTTAAACTAAATTAATTATAAATAAACTAGCTGTCGCTTGCGACTCCGTCCGCGTGGAATGAAAGAAAACTTAACTAGTTCCCGACAATCATTTGATTTTTCTCACCTTTTGTACCTTCCTTAGATCTCCACGAACATTTCAAGACCACGATAAGATCAGCCGTTTTCGAGTTTTAGCAAGACTAACGAACAGCAATTGTTTTTTTTTAAATATAAAATAGAAGACTAATCTTACTAATATTAAAAAATGCGAATGTTTAGATAGATGGATGGATGGATGTTTGTTTGAAGGTATCTCCGGAACGGCTGAATGGATGTTGCTGAAATTTGACATAGATTTAGAACATAGTCTGGAAGAACATAGGGGACTTATTAAGTTTTTTTTAATTCCGCGTGGACAGAGTCGCGGGCGACAGCCAGTTTGTAAATAAACTTGCAATAAACAATACTAAAAAAATTATAACGAATTACGCTGGATAGCAAGGGTCTCAGTGTAAGGTAACCACTCCCAACTCGTAAGTGAGAAAAAGAAAGCTTCTTGGAAGCTTGCTTAAAAGACGAAGACAACAAGGAATAGATAAAAGGGTTAAGGGTAACATTAATTAATATAATTACTTATGATACAATTACGTATCGTACGATGAATCTAAAAAACACTTCTAGGAAAACATTTAAGACTAAAGCTCTTCTTACACAACGATACTTAAATCTTCGATACTAATACTGCACACCATCGTAGAATCATCGATGCAAATTTTCTGTTCATCAATTCTTAGATGTATAGCGACTATGTTAGATGTTATCTGAAGACATGTTCCGCTACCAAGAAAATCGCGGCGACTTTTCTCACGATAATCTTGACATAGAAGGACAAAACATCAGCGACTTGTATATGCTAGCGACAAAAGTTGCCAGGTTTCGAAAATTCACGAAGCTTTGTGTACGAAGGGCCTTGTAGAGTTCGGACATTTTATTAGAAAAAAGAAATCTTTAAAAAATTCGCTCAAAGATTACGCTCAGCTATGCATACTGTCCCAATGTAATTCATAAAATTATGATTAAAAAATATCGCGATATTATTGTATAAGTAACGAAATATAAAAAATATAAACCTAATTTAAAATTCCAGCTAAAATATATAATAAAAATTGTTCGAAGTAAAACAAGTAATAAGAATATAACAAAACTTATATTTATTTCATTGGTTCAGCTATATCTATTTATATTCACTTAAAATTAAAAAAAATAACAACAACTAGAAACACACACACAAAGAACAACATAACACAAAACATCAGTGGGCATCATCACTTCTAAAGTAAATTACATCATTTCGAGCGATTGCGAGGAAATTGTCAAATTACTAGTCTCAGTGTCTGGTGCTAGAATTACCATCGTTGACAAGATGAAACAAAGGAATGTCAACTTTATTGAGTAACTAATTGACTTCAAAATTGTTAAATCTAATTTATACATTCACTGTTTCTCATTATTAAATCCTAGTTCAATAGGCTTTACTACTTTTACTCTTTGTTTAATAACCTAGAAGGTTTACGGAGGTATTAAGTCACAGATATTTTGTATAACAATTGTAGTTTTCCTTGTATAAAATAGACCACATTTAGTTAAAGCTGCAATATTCCTCTTTTGCAACACTATCAAATTGATTTTAATACTTCATAAAGTAACATATGTTCGCAGTTCATAGAAACAATCGCATTATTTGGTTTCGCAGAGCGGTATGGTATGTACACATTTGTATGTAGAATTTTACCTATAATCCTGACGTGATTTTCGTTGATCAGGTAACTCGAACGCTCTTATTGCTTATGAATCTGCGAACATCTTTGATAATTATCTATAACCAAATATCTTGACTTAAGTTAATTATTTAGGGAACTGCCACGTTGACTGTGTAGGTTGTTGAGGACTTGATTGCTGAGGAGCTTTTTTCACTGTTACCGATTGTTGGCTCGCTGCCGCGCTATTATCACTTCTATCCCAACCATGGGATTCATGAACGTGTTCATGGTGATCTGGAGATGGGAACCATTCTGAAATCCAAACGGGTCGCCATATTTTCTTAACTCCGGGTACCCAAATGTCCTTCCAGTCCGGAATCCAAATTTGTTTCCAAGATTCCTTCCATTCCAATTTTTTGTCTGGGACCCAAATCAGTTTCTTGGAGGGTTTCCAAATTTGTTGCCATGCCTCCTTCCAGATTAACTTTTTGTCATCGACCCAGATTTGCTTCTTTTCTGTCTTCCAAATCTGCTTCCATTCATCTTTCCACACCAATTTCTTGTCTGGTATCCAAATTTGCTTCTTTGCCGGTTTCCAGTATTTCTTCCAAAGAGGTTTCCAAATTAGTTTTTTCTTCCATAGATCATGTGACGTGTATTCCCAACCGTCGTGATCTTTACCGAGGTACTTCTCACCAGGTACGCCTACTTTAACCCATTCTGGTACCCATATTTTGCGCCAAGCAGGTACCTGAATTTCTTTCCAACCGGGTACAACTATATCTTTATACACTGGGACTTGAATTTTCTTCCAATCGGGAACTTTCACTTCTTTCCACGCTGGTACTTTAATAGGTTTCCATACAGGCTTATAAATTTTCTTCCAATCGGGGATCTTGATATCTTTCCAAACAGGAATCTTAGTAGGTACCCAGATCGGCTTCCATATTTTCTTCCATGAAGGTTTCCATATTTGTTTTTTGGATGGTTTCCATATTTTCTTCCAGCCAGGTTTCCAGATCAGTTTCTTTTTCCAGTAACCGGGATCGTGATGGTCATGGTGATCGTGATGTTCCTCATGGTGCTCCTCTACGTGATGCTCTTCATGCAAGTCGTGATGATCGTGGTGGTCGTGGTGGTCGTGGAAATCATCACCGTGATGGTCATGGTCGTCGTGATGTTCTATCACCTCATGATGGTCTCCGTGAACATGAAGATCGTCATGATCTTGGTACGGATTCACGAGATCCAGAGGTGGGGCGGGGTAGTCATAGCCCACACGTTTCTGGGCTACATTGCTTGAAGCTGACTTTGGTTCCAACTGCTGCTGTGCTTGTTGTTCTTGTGGTATTAGCGCCTTGCCCGTGACTAGAGCGATTTGAATTACCGCTAGGGTAATCTGTAACAAAGATAATAATGCTTTAAGATAGATCATAATATTAAAAAAAGAATTAATCGCATAGCACAAAAAAACGCATGCGCCTTGACAACAGACAGTTGAATAGAATTGTGTGACTTACGAGAAGGTTACGAGAGAAAAATATGACAATAAATAATACAAAAATAACAACAAATCTTTGTTTAAGTTGTCAAATGACGGAGAATATAAACTTGAACATTTGTTGATTATTTTCCGTTGACGATTGTTCAACTTACGATACATAAATAAATAGCAAGTAGGGAAGTTGATTGTTAAATGACGGCAGAAGTAAATTTAATATCTGTTAACCTATTACATAAGGTTATAGTTAATACGTAACAACTAACGCTACGAGTACAACACACGATTTGACCTGAGTAAGTAATTGGTAGAGAAAGACATGGGTCATAGCGCGAGCGTCTAGAAGCTTACATAACATTATTAGCAAGAGAATAACAAAAGGAAAGCCAGGTCACAAAACACATACTCCTCATTTTTTAAATCATAACAAAAACTTTTTCATTTAATTACTGTGCCTTTGTTTACTATCTCATGAATATATTTTGGTAAACATGTTATCAGCGAGTGTTTTAAAATTGACAGTATATAAGAAAGAAAACTTATTTGACACATATAATAACAAATCCGCAAATACCTTATGCAAACTCGGTGAAAACGTTTCGTGAAAGTTTATCCGTTTCATTACCACGACTCGAAAACGATAGGACACACTTGCAAAACAATTGCATAACTTACAACATATTAAATCCAACGACTTGATATTATATATTCATAAAAAACGTTTATATTACATGTCAGATCCAATAAAAAGTAGATTTTTCAGTTTTTTCATCTTAAGTTTTTTATTAGTTTATTAGCGGTCACCCGTTCCTTCCTCAGGATTTAAAATAAATTACAGCTTGATGCCTTCACACGTTTTTGAGAAAAAGTTTTGATAGACAGACGGACGGACAACAAAGTGATCCTATAAGGGTTCCGTTTTTTTCCTATGAGGTACGAAACCCTAAAAGTAGCCTATAATATCAGCATCAGTTACCTTCCCTTCAAATTCCGTCAATATCTTAAGTTAAGTAAGCTAATAGTAAGTTTTCGAATAAGCTGAGTTACGTTTTCTTTATACAAAAACAAAAAAATATTATAATAATTGTATACCTAAAGATACCAAAAAACATGTAATAAAAATTATATAATTAAAAGAAAATGACTTTCACGTTTATCTCTCAATAAACACGTTCCTAGTTCAAGTAACTTCCTGTTTGAACAGTGCACATTTTATTGATTGCATAATTTTTACATTAAACATATTTGTCAATATATTTTTGTCACATATTTTTTCTAAAACTATGAGATAGTTGTTTTTAGGGTTCCGTATCTCATAGGAAAAATACGGAACCCTTACAGGATTACTTTGTTGTCCGTCCGTCCGTCTGTCAAGACCCTTTTTTCCTCAAATATGCTTAACAAAAATAATAATTCGCAACATAAAAATTAATATTTAAGGTTCAATTCTCTTTATTAGCCTGTATTGTTCTCTAAAGTGAAATTTTAAATTTTATTATAACTACCCACTCTTTGTTTTAGGGTTTCCAAAGTGACGTAACGAGGTCGATTTCATGCACAATAACGATGACTGTATTAATTCTCAAAGCGTATATCGGTCGTCTTACATAACTCGACCATTCTCGGATGCATACATAAAATCAACACAAACGCCTGTCGCACACCTATTACGCATTTATTACGTATTATAATTATTACTGTTTCCGAAAGATGATCGTGCTTCACGCGTCTAAGTGCGCTGGAGAGTATCCGCGTTACGTAACAAATGCCCTCAAAATGGTGCCCAGACATTTTTGTAACGCCAAAATAGTATAACGTCTTTAACTCTTACATCTTTTTTCATCTGACTTCTTAGCCTTAGAGTATTATTATCGTAAAGTCAACCATCAATGAAAATTACATTAGTTACTTTTCGATACATTTGGAATGTTTATTGTACATTTTGACGATTCAATTAGTAACTAATCGAAGGTCTACCTATGTATATTCTAGTTACTATCCTCGTACAGCACGGGTGGCTATTCAAGATTAGATCAAATATCTTATGTTAACTCACCAAACATTTCCGATCTATCAATTACAAACTTCATGAACTCTTAAATGAAGTTTAGTTTAGTACAAAATTGTGAAGTATTTTATTTTGTTAATATCTACTATTATATAGTCGGTATATTGCGTCATTATTTTTTATGTAAATATTTTTAATTTTTTGCCTTATTATGATCGATTTTACACACGAACGGCTGTATGGCCGCCGCTGTCCTAGACTGAATTTGACAGCGGATATCGACTGCAATAACACATGTATTGAAACATTGTCTCTATAGCTTTGAAGACAATGAGTGGGATGACGATATGTACAAGAAAAATTATATTTGCTTCCTTATGCTGACATACCTTATAAATTTCATGGAATATAACTTTCTGTAAAAGTCAACAAAAATGAAAGTGATTCAAAGTCATGTATCTATTCATGCAATTTTATCGATTAATGGCAACAATGATGAGAAATATTGTTACATAGAAAAAACCTTAACAATGACTTTGGTTCCATGCAAAAGCCATCTTTAGAAACGGATCATTTGATTGTCATGATATTACTAAGGTTATTGTACTTCAAGAACATTATAAACCAGCTGTCGCCTCCGACTCCGCCCGCGTGGTGTTCAAAATCATAATTAGTAGCCCATGTGTTATGTATGCCAAATTTCATCGAGATACATTGAGCCGTTCTGGAGATACTTTTAAACAAACATCCATTCATCCATCAAAACATCGAATTTCTAATAATAGTAAGAAGTAAGGTAAAATAAAATCTACAAGTTATCTTCCTTAGTTAACTGTTATTCTTCGTACACAACACGATTCAACTTTGAAGTGTTAACTCCAAGTTTTACATCTGACCGAGTTTATGAATCTTCAGTGAATCGGAATACAATTGAAAGAGTTATTCTTAACATTATTTGTAGCTATTTCATGAAATGTCGAAGTAAACTTCAGTGTTTGTGTTGTTTTGTATGATAGATAAATAGATTCTAAAAGATTACCTGCATAAGGCCAACCGAAAAACCGTGAGAACGTTTTTGTATCGTCAACGACAAAATTTGTATTCATATTTGTGTAGCGCCGCTATTGGGCGTAATGTACGAGTACAGCCACAAATCTCATACAAACTTTGTCGGTGACATTACGAAGGCGCTTGTCGAAAACATTTGTGTTAGGCCCTCAAATTAAAATACGTCTGACTACTGACGTTAACTAATTAACAAAAAAGTCAATAAATTGAGATAATTTCGAATTAAATTAATTAATAAAACAGAACATTCTTTGACAAAAGTAAAGTCTTTAAGAAGTAATAATAGGTAACTCAAATATAAGTTTACACCGTCTTCCATACATGTCTAGTCCTATTCACATACGAATGATTTTTGATATCAATTAAAAAAAACAATTCGTAACATCACATAAATCAATAATCTTACAAATATAAATGCTGATGGATAAATGTTTGTTACTACGCATCTCCAAAACGGCTAAACGGATCTCGATGAAATTTGACACAGATTAAGAACACAGACTGGAAGGACACATAAACTACTAATTAGCATTTTTTTAAATTCTGTAAGTAGTTGCGGGCGACTGCTAGTTTAAATCGAATCATTGGACAAAGTCAATTACGTGTGGTAAGACAATATTTGACTATCAGGTGTGTGTACCGGTCAAACTGAATGCTCAAATTTGCTTACTGTCAATATTTATTTGACTACCTATTGTTATGTAAACAGCAGTGTATGAATAGGACGACGATGTTTGAAATGTTAAAGACTTTTGAATTACGATAAATGTCTTATGAATCTTTAAAAAATCTGACAAGCGATGACAAGTTTTTATCAAATTAAGAAATTGAGTACTTTATTTATTTAGTTTTTATATTATAATAGTATTTATATCTTGGTGAATCTATAAGTAATTTAATTAGATTACTTGGTAAACTGTTTTTGACCTTTAACAAAAAAAATCCTCGCCTTCAGTTCATTGTCAAGGCAGATCATAATTGGAATTGAAAAATTAAAAAAAAAAGACGATCGAAAATATTTACAATTTTTCCCACGAAAAAAAAAACACTTTTCCTATCACTCTCAGTTAACAAGGTCAAGAAAAGATGAAGGTAAAAGCACTATTGTTAAAAAAAAAACTAGATAACACTGACCACTTGGCTCCAGATCCCTCGCATGTTGGGGCGGGGACGGCCGTTCCAGTAGTTTCTACGCCGGAACTGTTTTTACACTATACCGTTTACTTTGGTTATGTGTTTATATATATCCAAGCCCACCCCATAGGCGGTCAGGTGGGGCGCGGTGAGGCATTCACTTTCGCTGGATAAGAACTAGTGTATATGTGCTTGGGAAAACAGGAACTATGATGCTCTCCCGTATATACCTTTGACTTCTTGAACACCTTATATAAATAAAATTAACATTATTTACAAATTTCTTTAAAATAAAGTTGTTTAGACTTCCATTATTTCATCTACTAGAATATTTTCAAGCGACCTTGAGTCCTGCGATTGAACCTCTGTTTGGAAGCTCTCGGAATATTTGGATGGATGGATGAAGACAGTCTGAAAGAATACATATGCTACTAACATTTTTTTTTAATTCCGCGCTGACGGAGTCGTGGGCGCCAGCTAGTTAGGGATATTATTGAAAAGTCGGATAGAGTCGATATTATAAAATATATCAAAAGACGAACTAAACTTAAAGGATGTCTTATATTTAAAAATTATAAAGCATTTAAATATTGATTAACTTTTCAATCATGTAACAAACATCATACTCGTATATAATATATGTACAATAAGAATCAGGCCTTATTTAAGATAAAATATTTAATACAAGTATATAAAACCTCGAGTTATATAAGAAAATAATTACATGAATACTTTTGGCTTAATCACGACTTATAGAACTTCAAAACTCGAAGTTTCCTAACAATCAAATAACTTTACAATACGCATCTAGAAACTTAAACATAAGTACTTAAAAGAACAATAACTAGCTTAAGTATAGGCTCTCACTACCGCAGCACAAATAGAATAAAATATATTCGTCTCTGTCAATCTTAATGTAAAAGATAGAGATGACAGTATTTTAAGTAACAATACTTCTGTTTGGTTAATCAGCAGTGGAAGCCCACCATAAAGACTTTTGTCCGGTGATTGTTGTTCACAGGAAACCATGAATTATCAGATCCCTGTATCAAAATACATATATACCTTCCTAAGTGGAGAATAGAATTAAAATCCTTAATCAAAGATACAAACTCGTAACATAATTCGAACTTTAAAAATTTAAGTGATCAACCTCTAATAGAAATAAGTCCTTAGTCACAACTATTATTGAGTAATATACAAAAAATAGTCAAAGTAAATACTGACCTTGGGTTTCTGAGACCCAAATCCACCTTAAAACTATTGTTATTTCTGTTTTGTCAAAGATAATGACGGATACAGAGATTTTAGTTTTAGAAACCAAGTAAATGGAGTACCATTATATATATATATATATATATATATATATATATACATATTTATTAAGTTACTACTTAATAAATCTATATAAAAGAAAGTCGTGTTAGTTACACTATTTATAACTCAAGAACGGCTTTACCGATATGGCTGAAAATTGGTGAGGAGGTAGCGTAGAGCCAGGAGACGGACATAGGATACTATTTATTGGGCTACACTCATTGAGTTTTTTTATATATCCACGCGGACGGAGTGGCAGGCGACAGCTAGTGATAAATAAAATTTCTAATGTATATTTCCAAATAAAGGAATATCAAATTATTTAACAAATGAAAAACATTGCTAAGTGTCAAGCGAGAGATCCTTTATAATCAAGATTAGGCTTTTGATAACAGAATGAAAACCTTTGTTTTCGAAGTGTTTAATATGCTGTGAAAATCTGTATGAGAAATCTACATATACGTTCTTTTTCGCCTTGACTTTAATTGCATCTGCATATGCATTTTGTGTTCAAGTAAAAACTTCATTCAGAAATTATTAATTTTTCAATCTCATTTGCGGATGATTTAACATTGAAAATATAATCGCCAATTAAGCATTAATAGTCTAATGGTTAAGGGTACGGATTCTAGATCACGTGGTTGACAGTTGGAATCCCGCAATTCGACTAACGTAAACCATATCCTAACACAAGCCTAGAGCTTAGTTGGAATGGTACAAACAAATATTAGTAAATTAAAAAAAAAATCTGTTAATATTAAAAAAAATCTATCATTCTCCATAATTATATCATACTTCTTACTAATATTATAAATGCGACGAATATTTGGATGGATGGATGATACCGTCTACCGTTCCTGCGGTCGGCCGTTCGAATCTCGTCATTCGACAATTGTCTCGAACCATCCTACAAACTTCGAGCTTATTTGGAATCGATATATTAGTTAATTTTCCTTAAACATTTGGATATCAATGAATCTGATTCTTTGTCAGTATTTAAACTCTCTCTTTTATTTATGGTCATTGTCGTGGGTTTTATTGTTGTAATATATGTAAATATTACTTAATACCGGATTTATACCGAATACGAATAGGCTCTTGTTTTGTTATGAAGTATCGTATTTCTAATTATAAAAAAAAAATAATCAAATAAAAACATTTCCGAAATACGCGAGCACCGAATTGTAAAGGTGGGTATCCACTGTGGACGAAATAATTAAGGGCTTTAAATCATCTTGTGTATCCGAAGGCTGAAAACGAAAGCTATCGAGCCATGTGCAGTATCATACACTGTGAAAACTGCCTTTTGTAGGTACGGATCTGTTATACTTAATGTTTATCCTCTTGCTTTGATGCGAACTTGTTTCTGGATTCACGTAGAGTTAAATATCTCATTACGAGTCCAGCATGTTGATAATAAATCTATCAGTCATTTTAACTCTGGTTCAACTTGTTGTCACTCAAATCATGAGTGTGTATTCTGTGCTTAGATTACGAACTTTACTTTGGCTTATTTTTATAATAAAACTAGCTGTAGCCCGCGACTCTGTCCGCGCGGTATTAAAAAATAGATGTTGGCCGATTCTCAGACCTACTCAATATACTCACAAAATTTCATGAGAATCGGTCAAGCCGTTTCGGAGGAGTATGGGAACGAAAATTGTGACACAAGAATTTTATATATAAGATATCATTATCTTGTTTAAATACTATGCAATTTAAATACAAGATATTAAATTTCTTAATTAGTAGTTTAACTTTATCTTAATAAGTACATTTTTATTTTTAAAATATGCAAGTTCGATGAATTTATGTATCCAAACCAATATTCCATAAGTAAGATAGATCAGAAAGTTTATTTACTTTGTATGAAATGGTGTAAAAAAATATTCGATCGCTATCTATACAAAAGATCATGTTTTAATTGCTATTCAGATTTTTAGCTTGATTTAATTTAAACCAAATGGATTAATCAAAAATGTTGAAGATAACATCACAAATTTATGCTTGCATTACTCAAGTGATTAGCCCTTTCATAACACATTTGCTTTCAAATCATGTCGTATTTCAAATGAACTGTATTCAAGACGGCATCAGCATAACAAAGACAAGAATATGAATATCCCTATAAAGGTTAATCTAGAACCTTCTAAAGTTGGCTACCATTTTATTTAACTAATATTATAAATGCTAATGTTTGGTTGGATGTTTGTTTGAAGGTATCTCTTGGATGTTTGTAGGAAGGGAAATTTGGCATAGTACACAACTTAGTATGGAAGAACATATAGGCTACTAATTAAGGTTATTCCAATTCCGCGCGAATGAATTCGCAGGCGACAGCTAGTCTTGTAATAGTCAGGTTTTTTGTTTGTACGTAATAGACAACTTATTAATATGTGTAATACATCGCCGCCGGCAACAACTGGATAGTTCAAATAAAGTTAGTCGTTATTACGAGCAAGTTCATGAGGTTGTGTGAAAGTTTTATTCTCTGATATTAAATATCATGTTTAATCACGATTCTGATTTACATTTTATGCTTCAAGCATATATGATATAATACAACACTAGTTTTAAGCAATTTATCATTGCTTATTTACAATACTTCAAATTTAATTATGTATTCAATAAAAATAAAATACTGTCTGTAATCCAAAACATGGTTTCTTTTTAAAAAAAAAAGAACAAAATCTCTAAAATAATCAGCTCTTAAAAGTAAAAATTTCATGATCAAATAACGTCTTCTTTTGTAAGAGAAGAGGGCAAACGAGCGGCGAGAACGACGAACCCATGGTTATACGCAACATCAGAGGAACTGCAGATGTTTTTTTACCAGCCTTTAAAGCCATTTTAACATTATAGGGGTCGTATTAAAAGCAGAATTAACATATGTTTATTTTTTGAAGACCAAGGAGATTACATAAGTAAAGTATGAATCATAAGACAGTTGGGCAAAAAGAAAACATAGGCGACTAAGTTTTCATTATCCATTAAGGGGCAAGAGTTGTTACGTTCAAGATTTTTTTTTAGATCCGTATAAATATGCCATAGTAATTGTTACTTGAAGCTTATCATCATGTTTCCTACTGCTAAAATTAAAGTGTACAGTTTTGGATTTGATAAAAGAATTTCTTCCGTTAACCTCATCAAGCAACACCCCGATAACGAATTGCATTGTTTGCGAGATCATATCGAAATATAATAACATTAAAAATTTAAATGTGAAATCCTTGTCAATTATATACCTATCTGAATATCGGTGCCCACGATACAGGCATTGCCTAGTATAGGCATCACTAGATTACTCAAATTAACCATAAATGGTAACTTAAGTTTAATTTAATTTCTCAGTTATGTGCAATTTTTATGTTATTTATTGTTTCTTGGTTTATTCTTTATTACCTATAATAAAAACGTTTCTTTTCTTTTTCTTTTCTTTTGAGTTCTGTCGGATTTAAAGTGATTTGACTTCCGAAGGTGGATTACATAACTGTCATACAGGACGACTAAAAAGGTGATACGAATTTAGCTGTCACGCGTTTTACTTTTATCACGTAATCATTTCGCCTATCCAACTAGCACGCTAAGCGGGACAAAGATCTATTATATCTACTTGTCGAACTTTATAAGATGTCCTCATTCGATAGCATTATTACAAAACGAGCACTTTTGCTTGTAACTAGCAGTTTTCGAATATTAATAACTTAATGATTTTGAATTTTTAGTGTATTTGAAGTGTATTCGATCTAATATAATAGTACTAGGCTATCGCGCGTGACTCCGTCCGCACGGAATTAAAAAAATTAATTAGTAGCATATGTGTTCTTCCAGGCCATGTTTTACATCAAGTTTCAGGGAGATTCACGCAGCCGTAATAAATATCCATCCATCCAAAGATTCGTATTTATAATATAAGTAAGATAGTTTAATTAAATACGCAATGATTTCTCTTCCAACTGTTTTGACTAACCGCCCTTTGATAACGGTACTGCATGTATGTAGGCACGTTTGTCTGTATGTAATTGCGGTCGACTTACGCAATGAATGTGGTAATCGCTTACTAACTTCCGTAGTCGTTCCCTTATCAATATCTGTCAAAGTCAAATAAAGTACGTTACAATTACAAAATGAAATGTACAGGAACTGGAAATAACTAAACAGGGGTTTCAGAATCTAAAATCACATTTTAAAACATACTGTTATCTCTGTTTAGTCAAAAATGGCTGGGGGGGGCTGACGATATATTTTATACAGACATTTGGGTCACAAAAATTCAACGGTAAATATTCTCCATTAAGAATAAAAAAAGAACTCAAGTTAATTTTTTTTCAATGTTTTCCGTTATTAATATCTAACTAGGTTATTTTAATAAACAAAACTCTAAAGCCTACATACCTTTACATGTAACTAATGCCTGGTTTACATTATGCCAGTATAGTAGATCAGTAGCGTAATATCCGCTGGCATACAACTGGCATAGTGTAAATGCTAACTGGCGCCAGTGACTGTCATAATGTGTAAAAGCTTTATTCAAAGCGTCGTAGTACCAAGACGAAAATAATCGTTCGTTAAAATATAAAAGATATTAAAATAATGTGTTAGTCAATGGAAGGAAATTATTAAAAAAGAAATGTTATGCAACAAAATTATTTTTTATTTAGGAAAAATAAAAATTAATGTTATTGTCAAGTTGTAATGATAATCATACATAAAAAATGCAATAACAGCCGTACCATCTCCATTACAAATGAAAATGGTCGTTGTTATGTAATAAGTGCTCGTTTTGGATTCACGAGTCATTTAGAGCTCCAAATGAAATTAATTCGCTGCTTATTGTCTTATGCCGGCCACATCCGGTCGCTTGTTGGCCAACATACGAAGTTGTGTAATGAGCCAATATTTATGAGATTTTTTTAAGTGGTACAATAACGTAGCGAAATACGTGATGATATAAATACTATATAATGTGAAAACATTTATTATACCGTCTAGAATGTGATAAAAATTGTCACAGAATTATTACGCGGGTCAAAAACACAAGATATTTATTATAAACGCCGGCAACGCATCTGCAGTTCCTCTGGTATTACTGATGTTCATGGGCGTCGTTGAACACCTCGGTGTTCCCGCTGCTCGTTTGCCCCCTTCTGATATAAAAAGAAATCCTCTTATCCTTATCTCACTTTATGTAGGGTTGGTGCAACAGGTCTTGTCTACCAAAACATCTGTCAATCGTTCATGTCACTCGCTTCTTGTTCATGTGACTGTTAAACGTAATCCATTTAGTTATTTCTAGTTAGACTAACCCCTACCAATAGCCTGCTACATTCAAATTTAAATAACGCTTTAGAAGGATCACTTCTTAGTCAATCGAATCGACCGTATTACTTTAACACATTCTTGGTTCTCGTATTAAAACATCAGAATAATTGTTCTGTAGACAAATTATTTAGTTGTAAGGCAAAAAACTAGACTTCTTTGTAAGCAAAGAATCATGAAATTATGAAAAGGAAAGCGTAGTTTCTCTCGAATATTAGGTTCAATACACATATATAAAGGTGTAAATGAATACAAACAACTAAGGTAACTTGCGTAACTGAAATTTGCAGGCTCATCGTATTCGCAGTGGGAGATTTACTTCGTGTACCAGTATTATTATCAGCTTGTTATCGTAATATACAATGTAAGAAAGCCGAAGTTTATGTAATCATTTTATTTTTGTATCTTATCATACAAGTGTTTCTACGTTACAAAATATTTATGTCACAAAACTGTATGGGATAAAATACCCAATTATTGGCACCTTATTCATATAGCCCAGTTGACAAATAAAATGTGTTAAGGTGACTTAATAAAAGTTCGTTTTATATTTATCTAAATAATTCACGTACCAATGAAAATAAAGTCAAGATTTAAAGAGGTTTTAAGGTATTTTATCTTCAAGATTTAATGGCGTTTTAAAGTATTTTACCTAAGTAACTGGCCAAGAATTCTTGTCTTGGGTGGTAAAAGTGTCAGAGAACATTTTTTTTTAGCATTTTCTCTAATAATTATAAAGAAACATTTTCATCAAACGAATTTTATCGAAAAAAGCTACACCTTTTTCTAAACAATCTCAATTCTCTTTGACTTTATGACTGTAGACAAAGGGTTCACTAATTGTCTTTCAAGACAGCAAAATTGTAGTCTAGTTTGAATAATTAACGTCACCTGATATAAGACTACATTACGTTTTTATTTTACGACCTTAAAAAGAACAAGGACCTCTGATCATTTGTAAATTTGATACTCCGTTCATGAAAGTCAAGATTTAATTACTGATTAAAGATTATCAGCGTAGGTTCAAGTTTTGATTTTAAATCTAACTTTAATGTAAAAGCAGCTATTATAAAATATGTAATATTTTCTTTGTTGACATAAGTGTGATTTTTCTTTTAATATTATACATCTCTTAGGTTCAAATTGCGTAAGTTTCCATGACACGGTACAACATCAGGAAGTGTCTCAGCACAGGAATTAAACCGGTATCGACTCGCGTCGCTCTGGTTTCTGGCAGGGTTGTCGGAAGGTATGAGTGTCTCGCCGGATATTAATCTCCGGTAAATGACTGTGAATGGAGTACACTGATGGAATTTGTAGGTTAACATTTCAAATATAGGAACTATTCAGGTAAAGTGAATGTACTTATTATATCTTTCTACTAACTTTTCTATTCAAATTTGTTAGAATGAGAAAAAAAATCTTTTTTTACATTATTAGTTGGCAAAAGAATTGAATGGCCAACAGGTCACTAAATTCACCGAAATGGAAAGCGATCGCTCCCCATAGAAATTCACAATTGCAGATGCGTTGTCTACCTTCAATCGACGGAGAAGGAAACGCATAGAAAGAGAATATTCCCTTCTATGCCCTCCTGCATCAAAACCCCTTCCCATCCTTAACTTTTTCCAAAAAAGGATGGGAAAGAGGACTAAAATTAGGCCTACGTAATGCACACTCATCAGACAAAACACGGAATTATTTGCACTTTAAACCTGACTTCTGTGTGAAACATATTCAAACTCTTACTACTGATAATCTGGTAATTAGAACTATTATAGATTAAATAAAGTAATAAATATATGTTCTTTTTAGGTAATAATACGCACCGGTAATACCCTAAGTCCGTCATTGGACCCTATACAAGGCAGCTGAAGCTCAGGCTAGTTTAGCTACGGCCATCATTTTATGTTACTGGCACAGGATAATTATCATTAAGTGTGCGCGAGGTAATACACGCCACTTTTAATAACACACTTTCCTCGGAATATGTACAGCGTGAATTCAACACCATAAGAATTTAATAGTGTCATATTCCGTGCCTTCTTTTGCAATTCCCGTATTAATACATAAGGTAGGTTAATCAAGGGTACCCTTCCCTGACTAAACGACAACGACTTTTGACATCGAATAATCTGTACAAAAATATCGTCGTCCCTGTCATTATTTTTGACAAACCAGAGATAACAATATGTTTTAAATAAGGATTTTCAAGGAAGGTATTGAATCGAGTTAAAATCCATTTCTGTGTGAAGTCTTTAAACATTTGCCTAATCCTAGTTGAAGGAAGTTTGAATTAGTCCAGGCAATGTTAAATGTATGGTTAGCGTACTTTTTACGGAAGTGAACTCATCTACAAACGGGTCTAGCTTTCGCTAACACCGCCCACCTGCCTTGAGTACTTGTTGTCAGAACTTGTAAATAGCCCGATCATTTGTGAGATACTTTCCCTTTGAAAGCTTTGTTTAATATTAACAATGAATGCTATGGTCACATTTAATCAAACTTGGATATAAATAAAAATCCTAATAATGTTAAACAACCAACTATTCCTTGTTTGTTAGAAAGAGACACATGCTATGTCAACTAGGTTGCATCGGTCTCCGTATTCTGTAAAAAAATAACCTACGGTTCAAATGTCATGACACTATGTCAGTAGAGCAAGATAACATATGCCCAATATTACGTGAGTTATGTTTGGAGGATTGTTTCGCACAATACGTTCAGGATAGTGTTACGTGAGACCGGACCAAAATGAAAACAAAAACCCACTTTCAAATTTGGAGCCGGTCAATGCCGCGGTAATACGCGCACTGTCCAGTATGAATTCAATATTATATAATACCTCTAGAAAAATCAACAAGTTCATCAAGCACAAGAGTTTAAATAAATATGGCATTATACGCAAAAATACCATGATGTTAATATGGAATTACATATGTTTAAAGACACGTAATAAAGTACGTATAGAACTACGAATAAACTTTAGCTTTTCTTTTTGTCAGCAGTCAAAAATTGTAGTCGATCGTTATTAAGTCCTAAATGTGACAAGCAATTAACATCTCAATGGCAATTAATGGAAAAATTAAGCTATAATCTACTAATATTAACTCTTATAAAAATCAACTTATGATAAACGCTATTTAATTTTCAACAGGCGCTCTGGTTTAAAGGCTTAAAACGCCACATTTTAGTATTTTGGTAAATTCAAATTCAAATTGATCAGGTACTCAAAAATACAGTAAGAAAATCTTATCTGCTCTTGTAGACGAAAGTGAGTAACACAAGTAAAGCTGTTCTTGGCTTCTTTATCTTATATTATGTCTATTTATAACCGATACGTAAAAATGTAGGCGCTTCTACTGACAGAACTAGTGCGATAGCAGCGCCACGCTTGCTTAGCTAGATAGTGACAATAATATTTTTTGTATAGACAATAGGAAAAATCATAAGAATTTAAACTGATTGAATTTAAATTACTTAACCAGTCTATTCAGGAAATTAAATTAAACCATTGCACATTTTTGTATAATCTATATTCTACACTTGTTGCTTGTTGTCAATATCTGTAGCAAGTACCCCATCCCCCGTTTGTAAATTCAATCAATACTTTCCCACTTTCCTCCAGGCTTCGAAGGGCGGGTTGGATTCTTCCTGTTATCTCCGGAGTATTTAATTTTCTCTTGTAATTGATTTGAGTTGCTGCCAAAATGTGTAGTAAACTTGCAACAATTACCGAGCTCTTCATAAAAACCGTCGTCAATTCGAAGCGCTTCGATCGAAACCTTCGTAATGTACGTATGAATCTATTTTATGTCTTTGTTAGTAATTGTTTCATTAAAATATGCTAAAATCGTGTAATATTCTATGATGTACTATTACTAGAATCCATGGTGTAGAATTGTACAATTTTAGATAAAAAATCAATCACATACTTAGGTGTACCAAAATGTATATAGCTCTTGCACTGCGCCGTTATTGATTTTCCATATTTTAGGACAAGCGCAATGTTCACTATCAATGTCTTATAGATTTTCTTAAACAGGTATTTAATTTAAGTTTCCTATTTCAACACCAATTTAATAAGAATATTATCTAATTACTTATTCAATTATCTATAAATTAAATTTATCAGTAGGCAAATGGAGGCTGTGCTGTACCAACTATTTTAGGGTGTGGCTGTGAGAGGGACCACCATTTTGAACATCATTTTTGTTCATTATTAAATGAATTTTGCTTAAACATCTGGAACTTTAAATTCTAAAAACCACTGCAAATCTGGAAATTGGCAAATCATTATTTGCTGTAAAAAAAAAAACACAAAATGTATGGGTGTGGTTTTATCTAAGTTCTTTTCTTATATTAGTATAGGTTGTGTGGTTTATTCTAACAGGAGAAGACAACATTCATGATTTAGTTAATTCATTCATTTTGGTTCAACTGAGGAACTCTTAAGAGTTTTGATCTTAACAGCTGCTAATGCAGTTAGCTTAGTTATTTTGTAAAAGAAAAGTTATTTCTAATAAAGAGGGAGTTCCTCGCAATTCAAATATAAGGATTTGGTAGTCATCGGAAAATTGTGAATATCGACTGGGCGTGGTCATTAGTTGTGATAACAGAGATTGTTAGTTAGTCTTCACGTTCACAAAGAAAAGATAAAAACATTACAGGAAACGTTTTTATATATTTTGTGCCTATTTTAACTTTGGCAAATTAGTAAAATGCCATTGTCGATTTGAAGGGAACGGACATAAGGATAAAATAAATTGCTGCTAAAACTCAAAACCCAGTATGCACTGCAAATCAGAACTCACCATTAAAAACATATTGTCATTCCTTTCATTCTCTATGAAGAATTGAGATGCCAATATGTGTTTGTTTAAATGTTTTAGCTGTGTGATTACACAGTAAAGTAATGCTTATCTAACCTCTTTCATAAATTTGATAAAAAAAATAAGGAATATTTAAAGATGAAAAATCAATAGGAAAAGGGTGTGGCTGTTAACTATAGGGAGACAATGACATGGAGCAAAGTGTTAATAAAAAGTTAAAGGGTATTTTAGAAATTGAATAAAAAATATGCAGAGGGATCTTATAGGATATTAAAAAGTAGTATTATTGAAAAATATTTAGACTTATGAAAAACATATTTAGGGTTAGGGATGGGTTCAATTCTTTCATTTTACTCCGGTTGAAGCTACAGATAAAGCTAAAGCTCAAGCTTCTTTGATACTCTGATAAGGAAGACTCAGCGATTATTTAGTGGCATAAATGTCTTAGTCCCTTAAGAGCTTGAGGTAATCCTTCCGAGTCCTGAGCCCAAGTTTCCGAGTCAGTATTTTTTGTTAGTACGCTTTAAGGCTATGTTCCTACTTCTTCTCCACTCTGCTATCAATTAGTATAAAGTTTATCTAAATTAAAAATTTTTCTAGGATTATTATTAATGAGTTAAACCCATCATTGCAATTATGCTTGGTGTTAAATATACAAGAAGGATGCAATGATGAAAATAAATCCTCATTGGCTTTAAGGCCTTATTTTAGTATTTAATTTCCATTAGTATTAATATCATTGTTTCATTCTCAGATCAAGTTGGTGTCATGTAACGATGGAGTGGTGGTATCTGAGCTTGTGGTGGCTGCTGAACACCTGAACGAGAGTGGAACCCTGCATGGAGGGTTCATCGCTCATATGGTTGATACACTGTCAACCTTTGCCCTGCTGGCCAGCGATCAAGCGATTGGGCGTGGCCTCTCTGTCGATCTCAGTGTTAGGTATGTTATAACATTTTAATATTTAAAGCTACTTTTTATAATTTTGCAATAAGAATTGAAAGCAATTTTACTTCCTTTCTGTGTCGTAAAAATTTATACACGCAGATTTGTGAATGTTTTTAAACAAATCTTATAAATTCTAATAAATATAGAAGCGATGAAGTGACATCTAGCAACAACATTCTTTTATCATCTAGTTACGTCTCATGCACGAGGCTTATGTTCGACCTTGAACGATATTTTGATAAATGATGTACTGATATGTTAAGTATTATTTGTTGTTAGAAAAACTAAATACATACTAGCAAATTGTCAGGAATTTATAATCGGTTGGGAATAAATACTAAAAAATATTTAAATAGGTTAGTAATCGGGAAGAAACAACATCAAATATGGGACCGCCATTTTGTCGTCGTGCCCGCGCGTCAATCAATTGGCGTACATCTTGAATTAATTTAGAGTCTCCTGTATTCTGCTTATAAAAACAACGATTATTAATTTTACTTTTCGATAATATTTCTTTTTTACAATTTCGAACCAATATTTATCTTACTAATTTTATAAATGCGAATGGATGGATGAATGATTGTTACAAAATATCTCCAGAACGGCTGCATGGATTTCCCTGAATATTGGCATGGATGTAGAACATAACCTAGAGGAATACATTAGCTATTTTTTTTTAATTACGTGCGTACGGAGTGTCAAGCGGTAGCTAGTCTATAATAAATTATTTTTATTTTAGCTACATGTCTACGGTTTCGGAAGGCAACAAGTTGGAGATAGAGTCCGTCGCCAAGAAGGTGGGGAACAAGGTGGCTTTCCTCGAGGTGCAGATCCGCAACAAGGATAACGACGAGCTAATCGCTACAGGTAGGCATATAAAATATATAGGTCGCAAATGAATGTTGTATTTAGTTTTAGATAATATTGTTGTTGTTGTAGTTGAATTTACTTATAAAGTGTTTTATTATTTATATTGTTGTTTATTTTTATTACCTTCTTTCTAGACAAGAATAAATGTTTTTACCAACAAAACTTTTTATTTTATTTTGCTGTGTAGAAATATTTCTTTATCTAAATGTGATTTTCTTGCTACCTTTATTAAAACATGTTTTTTTCTGTGATCAATGTTTTGATAGCGGAAACCCATACTTAATTTTCAGGATCTTAAATAATTGTATTTTTTATTTGTGCCAAAAAATATTGTGGGATTTTTTTATTATACTGAAATCTTTGTTTTCATAAAGGCATCGTCCATTAATCACGGTGGGTGTGGCCGCGAAAAAATCGGGAAACATCACGAGGGGGGAATTAATATAAGATATCATCACACGTCTTAATTCACTAAGCAATGACTTAAATTGAAAATTAAAATTCTTTTTTAAACTTATTTTATTTTCTAAATGAAAATACACGTAATTTTAAGTATTAGAGTCAAAGGATTGGCTAAAATATTACCATTTATTACCAATGGAGGGGGGGGGGGGGGCGGTGCTTCGGTTAAAAAATAACGTGATTAATGGACGGTCCTATAGATACTACGATTTATATTTAAAAGAAATTTGTATAATTCAATAAAAAGTTGAGAATTACGGGATAGATTTTTTATTTTTACAAAACAAAAGGTGACTTCAAATGAGGCAATTTGTCTGGGACTTAGCTCCACCGGTGAACGGGTTTGAACTGTAATGAGACATGTGTACGATATGTGTCTTGTATCTGGTTTATTGTTTTTTTTAATTGGAATGGAATATACTGAAAATTTAACAAAACCATAATTCACTTTGAGGTTATAAGCCATATAAAATGTTTTAAAATGCATCGTAAATCATAATATCATAAATAATTTTAAAATCTCATGATTGAATCTCAATCTCAATTAAATCTCATCATTTAAGTAATTGAAAATTCAATTAAATTGGTATAATTTACATTTATTTGATTATTATAATATGTCGCAGACGCCACCATACAGTCTTGCCGCCATAATTAATAAAAAAAAATGGTGGATCAATTAAAACTAATTTGATTGATCATGAAGTTGAATAAAAACAAGTAATACATTTTTGTATAAAACTAAAAAAAAAAATTAAGCAAACTTCATGTCGTAATCGCACTTTGAATCGATTGACCCTTTAACACGTTGAGCGCCACGCGTATTTCTAAGACAATCCCGTTCAGGCCACGAGCGCCGCTTGTACGCACTGGTATTAAAGGGCCGGTGTTTCCGATCGCAGTACAAAATAGTTTACATTTTTAACGTTATACCTATAGGCTATGTTTCAACACGTTACGAGCCAAGTCTGTTTTGTTTTTCTTACCGCTTAGCCCGCTCAGATAATATTTCTTCGAAATGGATTCGTGGCCGTTACTCTTTTTGCTACAAATCAGTTCATTACAGTTCAAATGTCACTGAGCGTTAAACATCCTAAACAGAAAATCTAGTGTCAGCTAATGATGGGTGACGTGGCGCTCAACGTAATATTATAAGCTTTGTTCAATGAGACTATTAGACGTCGATTAATGCAACTTCTACATTAGTACACACATTAAGCCCTGATGACAATGTAACTTTTTTAACGCATTGTCACTGTAAATACAAGATGGCCGCAGCCACGAAATGAGGAACGACATATTTTGCACTAGACCCCCAACATCTATAGTGTCTTTTTAAGATTGACTTATTTGACAATTCACTATTGTGTGTCTATTTAAGATTGATTTGTTTGACAATTCACTAGAGTGCGTCTATTTGAGATTGATCAGTTTGACGACTCATTTGACAATTCACTATAGCGTGTCTATTTATAGTGTCACCGACTTATCTGTGAACTGACGGGTGTCGCGATCGTCGTTTCAGTGTTGCTAACTAATTCCAATGTGCACAAAAGTCGGAAAAGTCGCCACATTTTGAATTAATTTTATATTGTTTGTATTTAAGATAAACTGCTGTGTAACATTGGGATTACATCTAAAATATACCAATGTATAAATTCCAAACTCCTAGTTAAAATACTCATCTAGATACTAGTGGTAGGCCTAGAAAATAGGTGTAAGTAAATGAAAAACGAAAAAGTTTATTTTAGGATTTATTGAAAACCACGTTTCCAATCATTGTGGTCAAACACAGTTTTTGAAGATTGTGAATAAATTCACTTTGTCGTATTCTCTGTTTGCGTGGTGTACGTCTTTTGGTACCAGCTTCTTCTGCTGCTTGGCCCTTATTAATAATTTTTTGAATTAGCCCTTGACTTACACCTGTAACAAATGTTTTGTGATTAATAAATTCATTGTATTCATATATTTGAAAGAGCTTAGTGGCGATTGTGGGTAGGGTGTCATTATCAATAAATTTAATGATAACAGAGTGACTAAAAATACTAACAACTGATATTATTGATATTCCACTTTTGGATTTGACAAAACTAACCTGTAGCAGCTGAAGTCCGTTTGTATATTAAATTAAACGGAATGATAGGAGCCTGCAGCCGAGCTTCTTCTTCAAAAAATGATTTCACCTTTAGAATAATACTCCGCGCATCACTCTTTATAGCTTTCGGCAAATTTAACGCTTGCAATCCAGAAGTATCGCAATTAAACACGGAACACTCGAAAGTATATGACACTGACAGTCGAATGACATTTCAACCTGTCGACCGTAGTTCCTATTTTTGCCATTTCACAGATAAGTTGGTGGCACTATACTTAAATATTATAAATAAATCATTAAACCAAAAATTGAGGTGTTGACAAATAAAAATAAATGTAATTAATGTTTTTTTTTACTTAATTGTCCAATACGTAGCCAAATAACTGCAATAAATTCAAAAAGTAATAACTGACCTAAATTATAGTACTTATCTGTTCAATTAATTTTATTACAAGACCGATGCTCAATAGTTCACAGTTCGTTGTCCGTGTACGGTCGACATTATGACAACCGTCCATTAAGTACAACATTTATCCTCATACAATAATAATTTGATACGTCATAGGCGTCAGTTGTCAAACTAATCAATCTTTAAAAAAATCTTTACTAGTAAAGTTCAGTATACACAGTGATGGCCGCGACTACAAATAGCTTACATTTTTATATAACCACAACATGGGATTGAAACGCCAATGAAGTTTAGACCAGATTACGGAACACTGGTTTAGTCCAAAATTGCCGTTACTACAATATGGCCGCTGATATATTTGATCCATAAGCTGCTATGTTATCCCCACAATATGTGTATGGGTAGCAAATGATAGGATTTGACTTATTAGTCTTATAAATGAAAAAAATAAATAATTAAAAATGAATTGACTAAAAAATATTTTTAAACTACATTTTATCGAAAACGAATTTAGATTTTTGGTGTATGATATGTGCAGAAAAATGTTGTAAGTATATTATTATACAATATAGGAAATATGGTTAACCGTTTAAATTGCGATATTAAGATTTTCCTAAATAACGTTTTCATAAATTACGTACTGCAAAATTAATGCAATTAATGAAGAATTCGAAATTTATACTACTTATGAACGGTTGGACTAAGGACTTTCCCAATTACCACTTTGGGAAAAGCCCAAATCCGGCCGTTCATAGGTGTGTGACTTACATCCTACCTGCAGCATTGACTGGATAAATTGGCTAAAAACAACATTGAAGATACAAGAATTGCAAAGTTTTCGGTATCGAGACTCAAGATGAATGCAGCAGCCGTAACAACCGATGTCCTTCGATGATCTTCATATCATGGTCATCGAGGGACATCGGTTAGTATGTCTGTTCTGTAAAATCCACAATGTTCATGCGGCTGAAACCAACATTTAAGATATAAAAATGGCGAGGTTTTCGTTATCAAGATTCAAAATGAATACAGCGGCCGTGCCAACCGGTGTCCCTTGATTACTTACTTACTATAGTAATCAGGGGACACCGGTTAGTATGTCTGTTCTGGAAACTCCACCAAGTACATGCGGCGGAAATCAACATTGAAGATATTAGAATGGCGAAGTTTTCGATACCAAGATTCAAGATGAATACAGCAGCCGTATTAACCGATGTCCTTCGATGGCCTTAACATTATGGCCATCAAGGACATCGGTTAGTATGTCTGTTTTGGAAACTCCACCATATACATGCGGCTGAAACCAACATTGAAGATATTAGAATGGCGAAGTTTTTGATACCAAGATTCAAGATGAATACAACAGCCGTATCAACCGATGTCCTTCGATGGCCTTCATATTATGGCCATCAGGGACATCGGTTAGTATGTCTGTTTTGGAAACTCCACAATGTGCAAGCGGCTGAAACCAACATTGAAGATATAAGAATGGCGAAGTTTTCGTTATCAAGATTCATGATGAATAGAGCAGCCGTATTCACCGGTGTCACTTGATTACTTACTTATTATAGTAATCAGGGGACACCGGTTAGTATGTCTGTTTTGGAAACTCCACCATGTACATGCGGCTGAAACCAACATTGAAGATATAAGAATGGCGAAGTTTTCAATACCAAGATTCAAGATGAATACAACAGCCGTATCAACCGATGTCCTTCGATGGCCTTCATATTATGGCCATCAGGGACATCGGTTAGTATGTCTGTTTTGAAAACTCCACAATGTGCAAGCGGCTGAAACCAACATTGAAGATATAAGAATGGCGAAGTTTTCGTTACCAAGATTCAAGATGAATACAACAGCCGTATCAACCGATGCCCTTCGATGGCCTTTATATTATGGCCATCAGGGACATCGGTTAGTATGTCTGTTTTGGAAACTCCACAGTGTGCATGCGGCTGAAACCAACATTGAAGATATAAGAATGGCGAAGTTTTCGTTATCAAGATTCATGATGAATATAGCAGCCGTATTCACCGGTGTCACTTGATTACTTACTTATTATAGTAATCAGGTGACACCGGTTAGTATGTCTGTTTTGGAAACTCCACCATGTACATGCGGCTGAAACCAACATTGAAGATATAATAATGGCGAAGTTTTCGATACCAAGATTCAAGATGAATACAACAGCCGTATCAACCGATGTCCTTCGATGGCCTTAATATTATGGCCATCAAGGACATCGGTTAGTATGTCTGTTTTGGAAACTCCACAGTGTGCATGCGGCCGAAACCAACATTGAAGATTTAAGAATGGCGAAGTTTTCTTTATCAAGATTCATGATGAATATAGCAGCCGTATTCACCGGTGTCACTTGATTACTTACTTATTATAGTAATCAGGGGACACCGGTTAGTATGTTTGTTTTGGAAAGTCCACCATGTACATGCGGCTGAAACCAACATTGAAGATATAAGAATGGCGAAGTTTTCGATACCAAGATTCAAGATGAATACAACAGCCGTATCAACCGATGTCCTTCGATGGCCTTAATATTATGGCCATCAAGGACATCGGTTAGTATGTCTGTTTTGGAAACTCCACAGTGTGCATGCGGCTGAAACCAACATTGAAGATATAAGAATGGCGAAGTTTTCGTTATCAAGATTCAAGATGAATACAACAGCCGTATCAACCGATGTCCTTCGATGGCCCTTATATTATGGCCATCAGGGACATCGGTTAGTATGTCTGTTTTGAAAACTCCACAATGTGCAAGCAGCTGAAACCAACATTGAAGATATAAGAATGGCGAAGTTTTCGATACCAAGATTCAAGATGAATACAACAGCCGTATCAACCGATGTCCTTCGATGGCCTTAATATTATGGCCATCAAGGACATCGGTTAGTATGTCTGTTTTGGAAACTCCACAGTGTGCATGCGGCCGAAACCAACATTGAAGATTTAAGAATGGCGAAGTTTTCGTTATCAAGATTCATGATGAATATAGCAGCCGTATTCACCGGTGTCACTTGATTACTTACTTATTATAGTAATCAGGGGACACCGGTTAGTATGTCTGTTTTGGAAACTCCACCATGTACATGCGGCTGAAACCAACATTGAAGATATAAGAATGGCGAAGTTTTCGATACCAAGATTCAAGATGATTACAACAGCCGTATCAACCGATGTCCTTCGATGGCCTTCATATTATGGCCATCAGGGACATCGGTTAGTATGTCTGTTTTGGAAACTCCACAATGTGCCAGCGGCTGAATCCAACGTTGAAGATATAAGAATGGCGAAGTTTTCGTTATCAAGATTCATGATGAATATAGCAGCCGTATTCACCGGTGTCACTTGATTACTTACTTATTATAGTAATCAGGGGACACCGGTTAGTATGTCTGTTTTGGAAACTCCACCATGTACATGCGGCTGAAACCAACATTGAAGATATAAGAATGGCGAAGTTTTCGTTACCAAGATTCAAGATGAATACAACAGCCGTATCAACCGATGTCCTTCGATGGCCCTTATATTATGGCCATCAGGGACATCGGTTAGTATGTCTGTTTTGGAAACTCCACAATGTACATGCGACTGAAACCAACGTTGAAGATATAAGAATGGCGAAGTTTTCGTTATCAAGATTCAAGATGAATACAGCAGCCGTATCAACCGATGTCCTTCGATGGCCTTAATATTATGGCCATCAAGGACATCGGTTAGTATGTCTGTTTTGGAAACTCCACAGTGTGCATGCGGCTGAAACCAACATTGAAGATATAAGAATGGCGAAGTTTTCGTTACCAAGATTCAAGATGAATACAACAGCCGTATCAACCGATGTCCTTCGATGGCCCTTATATTATGGCCACCAGGGACATCGGTTAGTATGTCTGTTTTGGAAACTCCACAATGTACATGCGACTGAAACCAACGTTGAAGATATAAGAATGGCGAAGTTTTCGTTATCAAGATCCAAGATGAATACAGCAGCCGTATCAACCGGTGTCCCTTGATTACTTACTTACTATAGTAATCAGGGGACACCGGTTAGTATGTCTGTTCTGGAAACTCCACCATGTACATGCGGCTGAAACCAACATTGAAGATATAAGAATGGCGACGTTTTCGATACCAAGATTCAAGATGAATACAACAGCCGTATCAACCGATGTCCTTCGATGGCCTTAATATTATGGCCATCAAGGACATCGGTTAGTATGTCTGTTTTGGAAACTTCACAATGTACATGCGGCTGAAACTAACATTGAAGATATAAGAATGGCGAAGTTTTCGTTACCAAGATTCAAGATGAATACAGCAGCCGTATCAACCGGTGTCCCTTGATTACTTACTTACTATAGTAATCAGGGGACACCGGTTAGTCTGTCTGTCCTGTATTAATTTCGAGCCGAAGTCTTTATTAGTTACAACATTTTACTTTAATTTGTTAATAATTTTGCTGGTAAGTTTAGCTTTAAAAGACTGCATCTATTGTTGGATTTTTGTGCATGTTTTATACGTTATTTTTTTATCCTTCTATATATGTTTGTTCGTGTTGCTATGCATGTTTCTATGCAAGTTTTTAATAGGAATCATCAAGGAAGATCTACTTCTACAATGTTACGTCTTCTACCTCAAGTTATACACAGCAGCCGTATTCACCGGTGTCACTTGATTACTTACTTATTATAGTAATCGGGGGACACCGGTAAGTATGTCTGTTCAGTGGCAAATCATCATCAACATCTTCTCGTGATGAGCGACTGCACTCAACTCTACTGCTATAAATTTTTGTAAGTACAGCATGATTTACACTGTTTAATTTTACTAAATATTATATAGTTATAAGATTTTGAAAATGGTTCTCACAAATTGCAACAGCTTAAAATTAACTTTGAATTAACACTTAATTTAATAATAATTCTAATTATTTTTTGATATTTTAACATAACATACTAAATATTCTAATACTTTGAGATTTGTTGTGACTGTAACTGAACATTTTTTCTTTTTTCCATTGCTGCATACAAGGAATCACCTGGCCTGATGACCGTCCCGAGACACCCGTGGAGGCTGATGGTGTCCGAGAGCGCGTGAAATACACCAGCGCAATGGCGGGGTCTGGCGCGATTACCCACCGCGTGGCACATGCCACTCGCCGCTTGGACAAAGCTACTGCTAAGATGCGTGCTGAGTTCGGAGATCTGTCAGATAGCGAGTAATCCGACGGATAAACGCTCGTAGTACATATAGTTGATCGTTGATTTCATTAGATTGAAATTAACATCGTACGCAACGTTAATGTTGATTTCTCTTTCTCGTTAAACAATTTTGAATTGTCTTTGATATTTTATTAATTACAAGTTGAATAATTTTGAATTATATAACTTAGTTTATTGTTGATGTTATTTAATTTCGTTGTTATTTATCTGTATTTTCATTCAGTTGTTGAGAATCTTTCCAATCATTAAGTTGTAATTTAAAATTAATTGTTTGATTACGTATTTGTTATCTATTTCTCTCTTAAGCTTGATCAGTAGTATGTAGATGGGAAATAAAAAAGATGATTAAATACCAGGGTTTTATTTTTACACATTATTAATTTTCCAGACTAAAACAAAGTTAATAGATTAAAAAATAAGAAAATTTTAACTTAAATATGAACAAAAGTTACTCAGTTCAGACTTTACAAGGATTTAAAGATATTCTTCAAATAAAGTGGGTCGCTGAAAGGAGTTACAAACTTGATTTAAGGACTAAGAATAACATGTCTTGGTTTATATAGCAATTTAACACCTTTAGATAATGCTCATAACCTCAAAAAGAAAGGGACTAGCGAGAAAGCGGCGACCTGAATTCACTAAAAATCACAATTACATATGCATTGCTTGTCTTTGAACGGCTTAGCATGCACAGAAAGAGGATATTTCGACTACCTCTCATTCCCATCCTCGAATAAACTCGTGATCGTAGTCAGCCAGGCAAGCAAGTCACTCGAGCTCCAGCAGATACCAGAGTTGAAAATTACGGGATGTTTAAAAAGCTGATCATTACTGGTAAGTAAAATTGATACTTCCCAGAATGTGGTCCTCGGCTTACAGCATCCAAAGAATTCTTGCCGTTGTCATAAAATCATCGGATTATTTAGATGAAGCTTTAAAAAGTTTTATAACAAAATATCGACGCTTTTTTTACCCGACTAATAAGAGTGAGGTGTATTTCAATTAGTACACTTCCTTCATTTCATCTACACTTAACAGATGGCGTTAATCTATATTTTTTTACAAACATTAACATTAAGGTAATTAATTTATCGGTAACATGTATGGTGATCAGGTAAGATGTATTTTCTTTGTTTTATACTAAAATAAATAATTCTAAGATTTAAGCCGTTCATTATGTTCTAGATTTGATGGCTCGTATATTCAAAGTGTCAAACTTTATAGGAGACAAAAAACTTTTGTTGAATTAGTACCAGTGCTTGTTACAAGATGTCGCTAAAAGTACTTTATGCCGTTAAAACGTTTTTACATTTGGAGAAACTTATTTGACTCGATGAGAGGCGCTGTTATGGCTACAAGTTTTAAGGGTTACAAGTGAGCTAAAATTTCCTTCTTTCTGCCAAAAATGTTGCAACACTAGGTTATCACTCTACCCTAGGTAAATTACTTTAGGTAATTAATTTGCAGCTTATGAACTAAGTTCTAATAGTAATACTTTACTATTTAAATTGTTACATCCAGCATCATCATCATCAGCTCTCTATACGTCCCCACCAAGGGGCTCGGAGCCAGATCCAGCATAATAGCATATTAACCTACATGTCATTATTTTGTGTCATATTTTTATGATATTCAAAATTATAAAATGGCAACATTACACCGTGTAGCTGCCGCTCCTATTGGTTCAAATATCAAGTCAAGTCAAGATGACATTTTTATTTATATTAGCAGATCTTTTATAAATTTTACTAATATTTCTTTTACCATTCCAACTAAGCTCTAGACTTGTGCTAGGCTATGGTTTACGACAATAGTCGAATGGAATGGAAGGGAAAAACGTACTCTAAACCATTAGGCCATTGAAGCTTCATCATCAGCTCACTATACGTCCCCATCGAGGGGCTCGGAGCCTACCCTAAGTTGAGGGTGATTAGGCCATAGTCAACCACGTTGGCCAAGTGCGGGTTGGTTGACTACACACATATCTTGATGCTTATTATTTTTAATTCAAAAATTTTCCGACTGCACAAGATCCTTGTCAAACTATACTGCAAATTAGGTTGACATACCTATCGGGTTAGATAAGTTTCTGAGTCTAACGCTTAAGACACTCATAAGTTAGTATCGTCATCTTAAACTGTTTAAATCTTTCTGTATCATAATTTATTTTAATTGCTAATTACAAGATCACATCTAGACTACATTATCTCAGTGTTTCTATTGGAAGCAAATTAATGAGGACACCACTTATGAAGTCTGTATGAAAAGTGGATATGCTTCTAGTTACGAGTATATGGATAACTAGCTGTCGCCCGCGACTCCGTACGCGCGGTATAAAAAAAAAAGACAATTCATTCCCTATGTGTTCTTAGCTGTGTTCTATTAACATCCATCCATCCAAACATTCGCATTTATAATATTAGTAAGATAATAAGATTGAAATAAAACACCAATTACATTTTTCATTTATTTTTGATTACACATTGGACACCAATTACGATTATATGTTATAAGACATCGTTAACATAAAGATAATCTACAGATTACAAGTAACAGTAATTAATCAGAATAATCCAGGATTTATTATTGTTTTTACAAGCCTCAACAGTCTCATGGTTAAGGGTACGGACATCTAATGAAGAGGTCGCTTCGAATCCCACTATTCGACTATTGTTGTAAACGAAATACACATATAAAGCTTAGTTGACGAAGTACAAAGAAATATTATAAAATTAATAACAATAAATTATAATATTCCAATGATTTATTTTCTTTCAACTTTATTATTTGGATTAGAATGAAATTAAATTTCTCTTAAAGAGTGGGCCGGTGTTATTTCTATACGTCGGCAATGGACTTACATTGCGTTTTCACTACAATGAAACTTGTATGGACATTTATTGGTGTCTCTGTTCTTTTCAAAGAGAATGTAAGGGATGACAATATGTATACAAGTTTCGCTGCAGTGGAAACACAGGTGGAACATATACAATTATGTAGACCGAACCCGAACAGAATGTCCTTTATGGTTAAACGATGTCAAATAACTTCTTAAAGTACTTATAAGAGAGAAATATTAATTGATAAATGAGATTTTTAAACAAAGGATACCATTTTTTTGGGCCCACACTCTATCATCAGTTCACTATATGTCCCTACCGAAGGGCTCTAAGCCTACCCTAAGTTAAGGGTGATTAGGCCATAGTCAACCACGCTGTAAAGTGGGATATAATTTCCAAATGTTAAAAATTAAAAAAATGTAATTTAATATTATTGCAGAAATTTTCCATTTTTAAAGTCCGTATGCAAATATAAAATTTTTAACAATAAACAATTTGTTGATTTAAGTTGCAGTTGAAAGATGTGACTGATTACCTTTGAATTAAAAATAATTTTGTAGAATCCTCATTGTTGTTCTATTAGAAATAATATAAAACTGTCACTGCGTTCAAGACATTAAAAGCAACATATTGGTATATGTCCCTTTTCTGTTCATCTCAGTCCAACAGTGGGCCCTTTCGACATAAAAAATGATCGCCTTTGTTTTTACAACTACGGTTACAAGATACATCAAGATTATTTAGAGAATTATTCTACTTATTTAATTAACAGGATAATCATTAAAAAAAACTCATCCGTGAATATTATTTCGAGATACAATAAGGTTGTTACTGTGAATTAATATTCACGGTATTAAAAAAAAGAAACAAATAATTTAAATAAAATTAAACATCACCCTCATATTCCGTTCCAACAATCCCTGTGTAGCATTCCTTTTTAGCACCAACCAACATAAATTCAATTAATTTTAAGTAATTATAATATCAATTCTAAAACACGACATCGAATATATTCCTACTTTAACATATTAACTTCTATTATAATATTTCCTGACAAGTTTTATTAAGAGATTATTCGGTACACATAGTATATATTTTATGACACCTCACCATTATTCCGGAAAAATACTGGATTAATTTCCTTACGAAGAAGGTGATGTAATAAAACAGTGATTGAGGATTCATGACAGATCTTAGTCATGCTGTAAGACTGTAACTTGTCAGGAAATTTTATGCTTCTAATTACTAACACTTATACAATTTTCTATGTCTATTGATTGCTGTTAAAAAAATTATTCAAAGAAAAAAACCTTATTAAGTTCAAATTATACTATAAATTATAAAAGAAGAAAATAAAAATCAAAAAATGTCCAAATGTAAATAAAAATATTGAATAATGCAATAAAAATTAAAAAAAAAATAATAATTGGAAATTAATGAAATACCTAACATTCTTACATATTTATTTGGATTATGTGTACCGTTTTATTACTAGACTTAATAGGTAGGATAAGTATCCTAAAGTCAGGTTAAACTATCTTAAGAACAAAGCCATCGAAGATTAGATTAGATTAATAGTGTTCGTCAGCACTGATTTAGTTAGACTTATTTCGCCACCCTCTTACACGACCCAATACTCTTTTCATGTCGCGGCCGACTTTATCGTGTAGATTATTTCACGACCCTCTAACTTGAGTAGATAATGAAAAGGAGATCAACACTTCCAGTTATTTTATCGCCATTGCATTAGTGGATGGTTTTTTAAAAAAAAATCATCAAGGCGTCTCGACTGTACCGCTTCCAAAATTACACTGAACTAATCCATTGCTGACAAACGTTGACTTATTTATATGACTTAAACATGAATATCTAATAGTTAAACATTAATAATTAAATTTACTGCTGTCACAAAATAACTGGTCGATTTTAACAGCTTTGTTGTGTTGTTGGAACTGATTTTGTCGTATTAAGATCTTTAGTGTATTCATATTTTCATGTTGTTATCGTGTTTGCAATGTTATGAATTACAATTGTTCTTGTCTTGTGTAAGTTTGAGTTTTTAAAATCACATGTAGATGAGGCAAACGTGTTTGAACTGTGATACGATTGTGTTGTTAAAATCAAACGTGTTACATTGTGACATATACGACTATTGCTACTAAATACTTAAATCTAATTAAACATATTATACTATTTAAGCTTTTACGAATAAACTATTATGCTAAAAGGCAGTTTGGAAGTGCGTAATACGAGAATCAAATTGATTTATTACATAGTTAGTGATTGATTTCTTTTTAGTGGTATAATTTACTATCAAACTTCAATATTTTATTAAACATTACCCCTTATTAGTCACCCCAAAATTAGGGTTTTTTCGAACCCCTCGGTGGGGTCACATATGAACTGACAATCATGTTTAATAGCGAAAACCCTTATTAGCAACTATTGTACCTCTCGTTCTATTTGTTTACGTAGAGGTAGGGTAGATATACCCTTAAAGGTTGCATTGAAAGTTAGTGACTACAAGTGATGACTGAATCTTGACAAAACGGTCTTTTTAAACAAGTTTTAAAACGTGAACACACTCCCAAGCTGCCAAATCTTATTATAAGAACAGACAGAACATATGCGTATTTATTAACCTATCTTTCCACTGCCGAAACCTGTACAAAAGTATATTGTTATCTGCATATTTTTCGAAGAAAATGAGAGCAAAGCGAAGCGGGATGGGATGGAAAAGGGGATAACATCATATTTTCGTACAAGTCTCAACACACACTACTAGTGGAAACCCACTCTTACTTATATTGACTGAGACAATTACATTATTTAAGTATTCGTACACATAATTAAAAACTAAATATGAAACAACTAACACTCACTATTTTATCCAGTATCGACACCGGTAAGTTTCGAGTCTATCGGGGGCTATTCTTCAGTGAGAGACGGGACGCGACAGCAACCTAATACCAGTCTCACTGACCCTAAACAAGGGCCCCACTGGGCTCGAAACTAGTAGATGATAATACCGTATAAATGTTTAAGAATTAGCCGATTTATATTTAGTTTGCGACTTATCCTAAAGCTTATATTGAATACAATGAATATATAACTAGTAATGAAATCGAATTAAACAGTTATGGAATTATGATAAATTACTTGCTACTAATATTATAGTCGTTATGCAATCCAGATATTGCACCTATTCTAATCAAAAACAGTTGAAATGACACTAAATTTCTCCTATTCCCTACGTCTTGTGTTTTTTGTCGTTATTTGAGAATAGTCCCGATATGAGATTACGTTTTAAAAAAGATTCGGAGTTGTGGTAGTTTAGAAAAAAAGACCCGGGTCACCAGATGTGTTAACTTTTCATAAAATTATTTGTGATTTTTGAATTGAAATTATTCAGACGATTTTAAGTTTGGTACAGAAAAATAGGATTAATAAAAGTTCCGAGAAACATTTTTAAGACACCCTCTATTTTTGATATTTTGATAATATCGATTTGGAGAAAATGGTCTTCGGTTGAGTTTTGTTGTTGCCAAGTTCATTGAGATTTTGAGGGACAATTAGAGTTCTTTATTAGCTTGAGTTAAAGAATTATCTTTAACATAAGTTGCTCAAAATCCTCAATATTGTTCATTAACTGCTTTACTAATGTTACATACGACATCAATAAGCAGTCAGGTCTAATCTACAAATGCATTACTTAAGGTGACTCTGAACGTTGATCGCTTAAATCCTATTTTTTTTTCAGAACTACTATAAACTACATTTTTTTGTATTTTTTTAATTTTTTTTTTACTATTTAACCCAATGAATGATTACAATGATGACCTAATTAAGGATATTGATAGATACAGCTATTTATATTACAGGAGTAAACATGTGCAAGGATTTATGATAGTGATGGTGCAACTTACAATATGAATTACATAGACAAAGAGTTTCTATGGCTTTACGCCTCATCCGAAGATGCAGAATATTTAATATGAGTTAGGACGGAACCTGATCGCGTTTTTCATCAATACATTTTTAAAATTAATTCAGACCAAAATCATACACTATATAACTTTCAAATAATACATTGCAAAATAACATCATAATACTGCAATACAGCAGTCAACACCGGCATTAGAAAAGGAGGCTACATCAGCAAAAAGTATTTTATAAAACCAAATCACTACCACAACATTCATTATTTATAGAGAAATTAGCATTTAACATAGAATTAAGCATACATAGATATAATGAAATTGAAGTACTAACCTTAATCCTATTGTACTAACGATTATTTTACAGACTATAAATCGTTAAGACTAGAAATCTTTGATTAGCTAATACAAATTATTATATAATCTTATACTAGGATTAAACATAGACATAGAGATAGACACCCTGAAAGAAGCAGTCGTGGGGGAAAGATGAAAATATATGGAAGAGGATATAAAAGAGTAAAAATAAATTCTTGTACAATTGGACCGCATAGAAAAGAACTTACGTACTATAATTAAGATTATATATGGGGAATACATAATGGTTATATACCTAATGAGTAACATTAATAAGTCCTTAAACGTTGCCAAGTCATTTTGAATGAACAATTTATCTTAATTTAAAATTGTTGAATTGGTAGAGTTACTTGCCGCCATAGGTTTCCTCTAAATATTTAACTCGGTGTTTTAATCCATTTATAACTTTGATCATTTTCCGTTGAAGATCTTCGAGGTGTTTTACACGATCCTCATAATCATCGAGATGGGTGTAAATTTCGTGATCCGGTGGAGCGTCTCTGCGGAATCGACTTTTTTTAACTTCATCATCATCGCCGCAACTATCACAGTCAGCCCAATAACGTAAATCTATAGATGGTATATCGTCGCATGACATAAGCCCATCCTGAACTTCCGGGAGCAGGAACACATTTTCACCGATAGTGTCAATATTATCACCGTTATCGCATAGTATTCTCGCCAGACTAGTTTCTTTGATTTGTGCTAATTGTTCCTTCTTAAAAGTAGTAGGATTTTCGTACCAAAACCTGTCGCCATCCCTAAGACGTTTGAATTGTTCGATCAAAATGCAACTAAACAGTGGTCCGATTTTTCCTCCTTCTACTTGGTCTTCCAATATACCTCCCACCCATACGTCAATGTTGTGAACCGAGCCGTAAAGTTCTTTCAGCTTATCTCTAACATTTTTGCTTGATATTTCGCCGGCCAAATCGTCAAAATCGTTAACTTCGGACATATTGCAGAAATCTCGCCATTTAGTATATGGTGGCAAGGCGTGGTCACGTCCTCTATGAATGTTGATCGCAGCAAGGTCTAAAGCCACGGCATGGGCAGTATGAAACAGTTGTTCTGTTAGTTCCGAATTCAAATTTTGGGTAGGCGTTTTCAGTTTCGCTGGTGTTGTAAACATTCCCCTCAACAACGGATCTACTCCACCCTCATCGACAAGTCTCCAAGGTGAAAAGAAAGCATTACGTAAGAGTAAGTGGCCTTGGGGGATCGGTTCAAAGTTTTCGTCGTAGCGATGGAGTATAGGATTAATTAAGGAATGACCGAATCTTAGAGCTGCGGTAGCAAAAACGTTAGAAACGGATGGATTTATCTTAGGGTCATATCCTTTATATTCGCCAATTTGTTTATATCCTTCGGGGCCAAGAATCAAAGGCAACCAGTGTTGATAAGTGATATGTTGTATTTCGGAACCAACCACTTTGCGCGCTTCTTGGTAAACCTTATCGCCATCCCAGAAGGGGTTAACAGTTTTTAATTGTGTAGCGACTCTATTATGTTCGCGCATCCAAATTGTATGCATAGCAGCAAGACCAATTTGTTCATTGGCTCTCACATCTCCTGCGACAAAGCAATTGCGATTACTTTCTTCCAGATTGCGCTTACAGTCCATGCTATTCAATCCAATTGTAGGCAATAAGGGTTTTTTTCCTGGGAAAGTAGCTCCTACACGCAATAATCCAGTATCGTTGGAGTAGTCTCGCAGATCATCGGCTACTGCTTTTTCAAATCCATACACTTGTGAAGCGTCAATATATGAAGTAAGTTGATTTATTTGCTCCCGAGGTTGCAGTTTTCCGAAAAGCACAGACGTCATTCCTGAACCACAAACTGAACTTGTTCTAATGAAATCAATGCATCGACGGTTTGTTATACGTGGATCGCCTTCTGGTACGTCAATTGGGAAGCATGGTGCTGCATAGTCACATGTTTTTTTGCAATCGACGCCATCCCATGTCTGGGAACTCACAGATGGCAGAGAATGATCTAAGTCGTGATCCAACCATTGGCCCCACTGCATTACCATGTGTGTGATCTGGACGTCTTCGGTAATTTTTTTCGTTGTTATAATAGTGGTGGACACGAGTCTTGAACTGGGCAATTTATAACCATTGTATTTAATATTTTTATTCCATCCCACTGGTTGACTGAATCCGTTTTCATATACAGGGTAAAGAATTCTTCTAAACCCAGTAAGCGAAGAGCCCCAAGTAGGATGAGCTAAGTTATTGCAGCTGCCGTCGATACTACGATATTTCAGATGAAAGCACATGTCCAAACATTTAAACTCCTCTCTATGAGCAACACAACCGGAAAGTTTTGCAATCAACTCTAAATGTTCTCCAGACAAAATTTGTTCGTAGTTAAATGGCTCCACAGAATTCGCCTTTAAACCTGCTTGAATAAATTCTTTAACTTTGTCAAGTGCACGTTCATATATTTCAGCAGGTCGGGCAACAGCTCTAGCTGGTGCATTTGGAAATCTTGTTACTCTGTATAGATCACTAATACTGGCATTGGGTTTATCAGATTTGAATAATTGTTCCATCGTTTTAGCAATAGCTTGGTCGATATCCCGTGTAGCTTCTGTCAGAGCAATGTTTACATATTCATCGCCAGGTAAAATATGATCTTTAACAGTTAAGAATGCTGAAACTGTATCACGACCATATTCGTTAAAAGCAGAACATTCGTAACGGCCAGAATCAGTTGTCGTAACGTTGTTAATTATTAGGCTACCTATTATGGAAATTGATATCCTGTCATTTGGTTCAATGTGTGTACCATCTTTTCTCCATTCAATTAATGCTGGCGGTTCACTCTCAACTTCACAAGGCATTTGAACGGATGTCTGTTTAAATGCATCTGTGTCTTCTGGTCTAAGTACAATTTTAGGTGATATAATCTGCGCTTTTTCAACCTTAAGAATGGCAGAAATTTCTGTTAGTCCCTCAGAATTTTCAGCTCTGCAATGATATAATCCATCATCATCATTCGACACTTGAATAATTGTTAAGTTTTGGTTGTCGTCGGAGATAATGATATTTTCATTTTCAGACAAAGCCATTGTATTTCTGTACCATGTTATGACCGGTTTTGGTACACCTCGAGCCGTACATCTGAATTCTGCTGTTTCCCCAATAGTTATAACTTCATCTTTAGGAACGACAACAAAAGCTGGGGCAACTGTAAAAGAAACATCAATATATATATGTGTAAAGCGGACTAAAAATAGTAAATAATAACATAATAAATAATATTATTTATAACTTACCCATAACTTCTAATTTAGCTTGTGCTGATATATGACCATTCAAATTTTCAGCTTCACAAGTATATAGACCAGCGTCAGTATGTTGTATTTTTTCAATAACCATAGAGCCATTGTGCCTCATTGTAATGCGATCTGACAGTAAAATTCTTTCCTTATTGAAGAACCAAGCTATGTGAGGCGTAGGATTACCAGTAGCTACACAGTCAAACTTTACATTGTCATCAAGTCTGGCAATTTTGTCGCGAGGTAAAATTGTGAAAAGTGGGTGACCTGCAATTACAACTAAATTAGTAACTACTTTTATTACAATTACTAACGATATGTATTAAGAATTAAAAACAAACCGTTTTCATCGGCTTTGGTTTGAACTATCATCCTGGCTGGCTTTGATTTTACTTCTCCGGCAGAATTTTTAGCTGTGCATTCAAAGATTCCAACGTCATTTTCATCTGCAGCATGTACCATCAGTGTGCCATTATTCATTACTTCATAACGATGGGTATCTAATGGAACACTGACTGAATCGCGTAGCCAAACTATTTCTGGTTGTGGCTCTCCAGCGACCACGCATGTGAACACTGCATTATCGCCGAAGTTAACGACTGCGTCCTGGGGATCTTTCATAATAGCAGGTTTTTCTGAAATTATTAAATTAATATAAAGCTTTATTCCAAATATGATATATATCTTGCTTAGATTTTTGTTTAATAAAAATTGTACATACGGCAGTTAAAGTCATCTTCCTTCATGGCGGATAACGAAGTGCCAGTGACAGTTGCAGGTTCATAGCATGTCGCAGCGATTTCCATGTCACTATGTCCACCTAGCATACGTACGAACCACAGCATTGAGCAATCGCAGATTAGAGCATTGCTGTCTAGACGAAGTTTGCGCAGACTTGTCAGACCACGGAATGAACCAGGGGGAATTTTCCTCAAGTTGTTGTTATGCAAATACCTTAAATTTTATAATTATGTGTTATATCAAATTAATATATTAGTACATATGATTAGTACATTTTGATAGATAATGAACTTACAATCTTTCCAGTCGCGGTAGGTTGGAAAACGTTTCTGGTTCGATTTGATGTATTTCATTGACGTGAAGGTACCTGAAGAAAAAGTAATGTTACTATTATTTGCGTTGTACGTTCTATAATGAATTATTAAGTCTTCTAACTTTCATTTGTTTGTTTTATAAATTGTGAGTAAGTTAACTACTAAAACGAGTCGCCTACTCTAGAATTTTAGAAAGATCGATCAAGCATCGCCTATTTCAGGATAAGATAGGAAAACTTAATTTTATAATACTGATAGAGAATACTCACAGCTGTTCGAGATGGACCATTCCCTGGAATACGTCGGAATCGATGTGCTGAATGCGATTACGATACAAGTATAGATATTTCAAGCGACGCAATCCATGGAAAGATCCGGAACGTAGGTCACGCAGTTGATTGTCGTTTAACAGCAACGAACGTAGACGATGCAGGTGACTAAACACTCCTGGAGCAATGTCGAAGATCTTGTTGAAACGTACGTCCCTGAAAAGAAAGAAGACCTTAGTATTTCTCAAATGCGGTAAATTGTATATAAAAAAGTAAGTTTATTAGTTAGTTGTTTAATTCCGAAGAAGAAGCAGTATGCACTTCTAACCTAATTCTTCTAAATTACTAACATCGCCTGCCTTATTTTGATGATTTATTCCGTTTGTATGTAAAACGTATTTCAGTAGATCGGGTCTTAAAGTTTGTTGGAAAAATACAATGAATTAAAATCAATTATAATTATATTTAGAGTATTTCGGTTATGTGGGTAGTATAACAATTTGTACTTTAAACACTAATTAAACTATTATGAGTTTCCCTAACAACACTTCTATTATATCAGTGCTGCTATAGGGTCTTTATACAATTATCTGCACATTCGCTACATCGTTACGCTTCAAGGCAACCAATTAAAACTTTAAACCACGCCTTCGTGTGTTAAGGAAAGTTAGGACGTCTTATGATTTTCTTTATAACACACACAGGTGTAAAATAATATCATTTCGTGTTTCATTTGTAGCACGTGTAATTTTATTAGAAATGTTAGTAACTTTTACAAATTCTACATTAATTCATATTGTATGAAAATTAAAAGGAATTGTCGCTCTTTGTTCAATGTCACAGATTGTCGTCCTTCACAATCTCTTAGAAAAAACAGAGACACAAAATGTTTTACAAGTCTCATTGCAGTCGAAACACAAACACAAACACAATACAATAGCTAATATAATTTAAAATGTTGAAACGTCAAAGTGTACACACGCTCTGCTTATCAAGGGCTGGCTGCAATTAAGCTGGGTCGAGATAGAAAAGAAAAAAGTTGCTTTACGTCACACTGCATACGAATGTATCGGAAATAAAATTCGTTCGCTAAATCCTTTCAACGGCCAGCGTACAATTAATCAAATTTTTCACGTTCGTCGCTTCGTGGATTTGTATTGGAAAAATGGATACGTACAGGCGATTTTTAATCTATTATTTAAAACTTCTTTTCAAAGTGTGAATTTGTGTCATTCGCTTTATGAACATGTTTTTGTATAAAGTTAAAGTTGTAAGAAAAAGTAAATTATTTTCAGATTAAGGGAATATAGGTCGAAAGTCTAAACTAGGCAATGTTGAAGTTTAGTCCCGTTGTAGTAATTTATGATATGACAACTTTATTGATCGGAATGATGGAGTTAAATCAAAACGTCAAACGATTGATATACGAGAATTGATGCCTCGTTTAAACTATGTCTATAAGGAAATATGTTATATTAACTGTGAAATGTAGATAGAACAAGGTTAACTGTCAGACAACTTTATCAGTACACTAGCTGTCTCCCACGACTCCGTCTGCGCGTTGTTAAAAAAAACATAATTAGTACTCACTTACGCTTCGCTCCTATTGTTCGCAGCGTAATTTTATATAGCCTAAAGTCTTCGTCAATAAATTGACTATCCAACAAAGAAAGAATTTTTCAAATCGGACTAATAGTTCCCGAGATTAGCGCGTTTAAACAGACTCTTCCGCTTTGTAATATTTATCAGTCCATATGATGCAATGTCAGTGTCAAAATAATTTCAAGGCTCCCAATAAGTATATTGCAATCAAAAAGTGTAATTGAACAGCATGATTTTTGCAGTGTAATGCAATGCGAATTTTTGGATGTATGGACGGATTAATGGATCTTACAGAAATTTTACATATATGTTGAACGTAGTCGGGAAGAAGACAGGTTACTAATTCAGTTCTTTTTTTATTATTGGAGTGGCAAACCGATTTATTGAATATTTTTAATTAACATTAATATGGTAATCCTAAGCAGAGACTTAATGAACAAAATTAGCAGCAAACATTACCTACGCCAACACTAATTAGACACTTGAAGCTACCAAAATGCACGGATCCTCCGTATAATACAAAATACAGCGGATATTTCGTACGTAAAGTGTATTGTTAACCCTGGCTAATGCAACGTAGTTTCGGGGAGAGTGTGATCTGAGATTTAAGGTTATCTGCACGTTCGCTTGAACAATAAACCCGTTTAAACCCACCAAAGTGGATTTCACGATCAATGGGAAACTAAATTTGAAATCACACAAGCAATATTCTAAACTTACGTTAAAATGGAATATAATAGTTTACATTTTTATATTAACAATGTGTCAAAATATATTTTCGATGTTAATTTTGCATCAAGATCTTTATGTCAGCGTATAACCACACTACAATGACGTCATTAATGTAACGTGTCAAATATTAACTAGTCTATTAAATCCTAATTTACTATCTATGTTACTCAATACGTAACCAAATTTTTGTATACTGCGTATAAAAATCCAATGATCATTTTATAACTGTAGGGAATTGTTTTTTTTAGAACGAAAACAATGGCCTCTAATATTTGTTTGCGTCGAACATGTTTGTCAACGGCAGCGATGTCGCCCACCAATATTGCATTTAGAACGAATACTTTTGATAGCATTCTAGTATGCACCGAAAAGATATATGAATGTAGCATAGTATTCTGTTCTGATTTAATTTGCTTGTGAAACAATTGACTTTCGTTATTATGTGACGTTATTTTATTGGCTTACTGATGAATCTCCTATTGAACTACGTCAGTTAAATCGATTATTCTCTTTTAATAAATTTGTATATAAACAGACTAGCATTCGGCGCAATCTCAATAGTTAGGAACGCCTAGAAATCAAATATAAGAAAAATAACTTTAATTTACAAAACTAATAAATATCCGAATTTAATATAAGCATTAAAATTATTTTTTTAAATTGTATATATGTATTTTAATTATTTAACAAACATACATCATGCGAGAACAAACACAATTCATTCAACTTACACGCTATGTTAGAAAACACTAAACCACTGAGGATACAGACTCTTGCTTAGCCGCAATATCATTATGTTAATGTATCGCCTACGTTTCTAAACGGGGCAAGTAAACTTGCACGGGATTTTCATTCTTACTGAGAACTTTCTGAGTTCGGCCCATTTAAAAATGCTTTGAAGCGTTGCGATAAGGAGCGTTTATTTATGAGTCGCGGATTATAGTGGTCACAGTGTCAGCGGTAGAGAACGTAAAAGATAATAAGTTTTGTCAAAATTCTATTACAAAAACAATTATGAATATAAGAGTAGTATTATGTTTTAACAGTGACAGAGCCCGCTTTAACATCTTCGCACGAATTGGCCCGGCTCGCACGGTGAAATACCACGACCACATAGAAGATAGGCGTGAAGTGGAAGCAATTCTGATGAGTGTGCATCCCTGAGGCCTAGTTTAGTCCTCTTTCCCTTCCCACCGTTTTTCTTATAAGGAAACGATGAGAAGTGGAAGTTGACTTTGATTAGTTTGAGAGAGTAGTGGATGAGAGGACGCATGGAAAGGGAAAAATTTATTTCTGTGCATCCTCCTCCGTCGATTAAAGGTAGGCAACGCATATGCAATTGCGTATGTATATGGGCAACGGTAACTTCGCTATTTCAGCGATTTCAGGTGGCCGCTCGCTCGTTTTCCACCTCATGATATAAAAAAAAACATGTAAAGCATAAAGGAATGTCAGCAATACTTTCCTTTATTCCTTTGTGAATGTGACAGAAGCGAAGAAAGCTAAGAGGATTATTCTAGTTCTAAGAGATACGAACTAGACAGTCGACTATTCCAATCCCAAGAATCAATTATTTTATGAAAGAACAGCATTGTAAATAAAATTATAATGCAATTTCTTTCTGCACCGTAGAATAAGTTTTTAATTGATTTTACAAACATAAAGAAATTCTTCTAAACGTCACAAGAAATAAATTTATGTTTTATTTTGTCATAATATATATAACTCAAGAACGGCTTTACCGATATGGCTGAAAATTGGTGAGGAGGTAGCTTAGAGCCAAGAGACGGACATAGGATACTATTTATTCATTTTTTGTCGAATTTATGCCTTGAAGAGCTCCGTTTTATATAACTTACTAATATTATAAATTCGAATGTTTAGATGGATGTGATGTAAATAGATGGATGGGTGGGCTGGGCTACACTAATTAAGTTTCTTATACATCCACGCGGACCGAGTCGCGGGCGAGAGCTAGTTAGATAATATGATAGAATGGTTCTTTTGCCAATATATAAGATTCTGCCCAACTTTTAAATTAAATGTAGTAATTAAGTATCCTAATGATGTTTATCTCTGTACTAAATCTTCTATCTTCTATTGGCTTATGAATCGATATTGTAATAGAGGCGTCTTATGCCTTCTCAAAAGAAAAAAACAATAAGTAAAAGTAAAGAAATCGCTGTCAGTGGGGACACCTCGTTAAATAGGTCATAGTGTTTTTACACCGTTTCTATTAAACAGACCACTAGGGATTCCGCGGACTTCCTTTTAAAGGAGATTTGAATATTATTTAGTGCTTCATTCCACTATCCTATTTTTACTTGCGCTTTTAATATTGCACTATAACTTTTAGAAAAGGACTAATCAATTTTCTATTAATATCATTTCCTGTCAAATTAATGCGCGCGATACATTTTAAATTGATATTATATTATATTTCAAAGAAGCTATAAAATCATTTAATCAAAAGACAAACGTCTTTTTTAGACTGTGCAGTTAGAACTGAACGTGTGTAGCGAGTTAAATTGAATCTCGTAATAAATTAACAATCTCCCTGAATAGTTCACTCATTTCTAAAAAGTCTATTCAAAGATAGGAATGCAGACTTAACTATTAAAATGGAAATTCAAGTCACCCACCGAATGAATCAATATAATAAATAAATTAATTAATACGTACATCGTATTTGAAAGGAGATATATTGTCAACAATTTGTAATGCGACATACCCTAATTGGCGTGAATAAAATGGTGTTGAATCGAATCGCTTACTAGCTGATTGATGAATGGTTTAGCGTCCAGTTTAATATGACCCCCGTCGCGTTTTATCATCTTTAACAATTACATGTAATTGGCGTTGACTCTCCTTTGTTGATATAC